CTGCGCGCCTTACAATCCGATTATCGCTATGCTTTACCTACACCTATGAATCACTATTTGAACTGAACACAAGACGAGATTTTCATAACTTTTTCTTCTTTTAACGTACAATAGTAAACAGACTAGTGGTTCACTATCCTTGTATTCATGTCAACTGAGTTATGCATATAAACAACTTAATTTCATATCCACAATGCACCGTAATTCATAAAAATGAAATGACTAATCTCCATTACAGAAATTGGAATAATGCACAACAATTGGTTTCTCTTAATATGTAATTATTTTGTGACCATCAATCATACGGAATTGAGTGATGGGTTAAAAGAAGCTCTTGAAATAAACTAAACAATAATACTATGAAATAAATTTCAAGTGACTTTTAAAATTGATAAAATATTGCTGTCAATAATGCTTGTCGTAGATTCCTGTTTTTATTTTCTCAGTCCCTCATAGCACGCCCGACATAGTTAACCATGCAGTTCACGGCTTCTCAATTGAACTTTGAGAAATTCCCCTATTACTTCGTTCAGATTAACTCTTTCTATCATTGGATTAACCGGTTCATATTTTACTTTACTGAATTAAAACTGTAATATCTAAGTATACATTAGTTTATTGAGGTCATGACAAGTTTAATTACCTTATTTCTTCTATGTCACCCAACACTTATACTTTGGTTGATTGATCTCTCCAATACGAGACTTCATATAACAATGATATTTTTAAAGGGACGTGACAGTTGCTTCAAGGAGACAGGCAAACAGACAAAATCAACGTAGAACCTCCCACACAAGTGCTCTGCTTCAAGTTGCCACACTTTAAAGCAGGATACAAAAAACAAGTAGAAAGAAAAAGACTGATATCAAAGTCGACAAAGGTTTATAGGAGGAGAAGGAATTTAAGAATCAAAGTTAGCGAAAATATTCAAGAGTGAATACATCTATGCCATTGTGACGGATTTTCGTTCATTTTCCTAAGGTTCTACAACCATTGATTCCTATCACCTCGATTCTTCAACACTTCCCCACACAACTGACGCCAACACTCAGAGACTTCGTTGGGTGGTGCCACGTCTTTAGTCTTGCTACCCTGAAACCTCTTCCAACCTAATCCATCTTCTCCTACCATCGCACGTCAAGATAGGCGCTTACTCGGGATGCGCAACATATGTCCGAGCCACCTCAGACACTGAAGATTCAAAACTTCATTGACCGGCTTGCTTGTCTTGCCTGGTACCCTTCGCTCAACCTCAAAATTGTTCATACAGTGATTCCACCAAACACAAGCGATGCTGCGAAGATACCTTTGGTCAGAAACCTGTAATCTTTTCGTATGTTGTACTTTTAACAGCCATGTTTCACAACCGTATAACAGGGTAGAACGAACTACGGTGCAGTATATAATCGTCGTTTGATGGGTAGTCGGATATCCCACCAGTCGGCTCCAGAGATGAAATAAGTTGGGAAATACTAAACGAGTCTTATGTATTCGGGCCGAGATTTCGTCAGCAACCAGCATGTTTGGGCTGATCCAACTTCCCTAATAAGTGAAGTGTTCGACTAATTCTACCACTTCACTTCCTATCATTAAAATGGGAGTGGTTGCAGACCAGTCCTGGAGCATCATATTGCACTTGACAGACTCAAAATACATGTCAAATATACTCAGATTTCTGCTCAACGCTTCCAGAAGACTTTGGATTATGTCGTCATCCTCACCTTACAGGACATTGTCGTCTGCGTACTCTTCATGAGGAGTAGGTCAACCTCTGAGTTGGCCGCCGGCAAGTATGCCTGTGTTCCAGAACCTTTCGGAGGGTGGGAATATGATCAATGGACTCTCGTCCATGTCTAAAACATGCCTGATTCTCTCCGATCGGCAGTTCTTTAACTCAAGTTAGGTGTTGGATAACTATGGACCTGAGGATCTCGGACACGACGTCAGTTGGACTGGTTTTCCTGTGGTTGTCACAAAAAGACTCGTCTTCTTTAATATAGACTGGAATGGTCAGTGAAGTACACCAGTCTGACTGGACTACCTCTGATTCATATACACTACCTAGTACCTCCGTAACTTTAGCAATTTCCTATCTACTTCTTTGAAAACGTTGGGTGCAAAACTGTCAGGTCCTGCTGCTTTGCATTGTTTCAGGTTCGATACAGCTTTCTCAATTTCGACGACAGTTTAGAAGACCGGTATCTACATCCCATTTAGGTGCAGGCTAGATGCTAGGCACCTGAAACATTATGGAGGGCCAGTTGAACTGTGCTTCATAGTGTTCTGCTCAACGTTTTAGCCGCCTCTCCTGAGAGGTTATCGGCATCCCACCCTTTTCGGTGATGGTTTCATTAACTATCGTCTTCTTACCTATATCCGTAACGAACATAAATGCTTGCCGGGTATTATCTGATGCTGATGCCTTCTTCATCTCTATCGCTGTCACCATCCACAACTGCTCACGATCTTTGCGAAGGCTGTTAGTGAGTTTACGTTTAAGTTGGCTTTACTCGCCATTATGATCAGAGTCAGCTGCAATGAGTCTTCTCGCATCAATCAGTTCGGATAAGGTTGCGGAAATCCTTTGACATTTGCTAACATTTGGATATCTGTTACCAACTGTTTTACCGCTGTTTCTGCAGCATACTTTATATCACGCCAGGCTTTATCAGGATGAGCATTGCTGTCACGCTCGAATGAGTATCTAACTATCTCCTCCCTAAAAGCACACACTTTATGTCCTCATATTCTAATTGAGGAGAGACAAGTTTCACTGCTCCCTGTTTTCTGCGGTCAGTAAGGTACAAACATTCACATACCCGTACTAGCGCGTGATGGGAGTTCAAAAAGGTACTCCGGAAAGAGCGGCAATCCTCCACTGACCGTCTCCAACGATAGCTTATAGCAGTATGATCTGTCTGTGTCCATCGGTTTTTTTGTTGGTGGAGGCTAATTTAAAGCTTTTCTCCTCATACTTGAAGTTAGTATAGCCCAGACATCAGTGGTCTCCAGAACAAAGTTGTAACAGACGATCATCGTAGTTGGTTTGTTTGCATGAGATTTCATAGATACCTCCAAGATGTCTTTCTGATTGGCTCAGCCTTCCCACTTAAGCGTTGAGCATCACCTGCCATTATAGCCATATTTGAAAGTTTTGCTTTATGTAGTAAACTTGACAGCTATTCATAGAATTCACCCTTTGCGTCATCTGAACTGAAGTCGGTGGGTGGATAGGCGGCGATAACTAACAGGCATCGGTTGATCTTGCTATCCTTTTTATTTCTTACAGATCCATCCAGTCGAACAGCAAAGAGACGGCTATTGACTGGTATCCAGCCGAGAAATACACTTTCTGCCCTACAACTCAATATTATGCCTACACCAGTGAGTTCATGAGAGCTAGACATTGGGTCTCTAGATACTTGTAAGATGAATTTCAAAGATTCGCCGCATTTACCGGGTGAGATCATGTGAGTAACTACACTCATGTCTCAGAGACACAGCATACACCCAGGGCTAGAGATTCTAGAATCCCGGTGGGCGATACCTACTGTTCGATTTGACATGCAGTTTAGAAGTTGGTAGCTCCAACATGGAACAGATGGTGGGGTCCTAGGAATTTGGGAATGAGGTCCCGATGTCTTTGACCGTTGACAGTGGTCACAGAATGAGAGGTTGAGGAAGTTGCAAGAAGTAAAGTTAAGGAAAAAGACAGAAATGGAGCATAGGTTTCTTTTGATTGGGTCTTGCATACTACTGAAAGCGTGCGGGCGGTTACCACCTCCCAGTTGTCAGTACCGTGGAAGTTGTTTCTGTAGAGTACCTAAAAGAAAGAAAGAAAGATTTGTGTGACGCAAGAGCTCATGGGACATCTACTTAAGGCCTATCACACGTTACCTTTTCAGGATTGTTGGTATACGATCTGATTGTTCTAGCATCGCATAGAAAAAGCCTACACCAAGGGCACCAGAAGACAGGATTGGATGTAGTATTTTTGGGACCAACCTTTCATAACCCCTTTTTCCCACAGGGGAGGGAGCATCATTTTCACACTACTGGTTATCCGAGGGAAACACCTAACTACTGTCAAACCCCATTCAGGCAGCAGTACGACTTCACCCTCGGACCTTCATCATAGTGTAGCACTTTACGCTATGATGGTAGCTGCTTTTTGTCTTACCTTTATCCTATAGACCTTTTTAGTATGGCAGAACCTCAAGAGAGCAAGCTTTCCATCCGGTGTAGCTTGTTGGGTCGTTATGATATGAGAGCCCGACCACCACATCAAGGTAGAAGCTATCAGTTAGGGTGTTACCGATAACTGCAGGTTAAGGTAAGTAACTGTTTGCTACCCTTAGTATGAAAATATTATTATTCATTCCATTAGCTGCTTTTTCAGCTTGTTCGTCGAACTTGTATACTTCGATGACCTTTACTAGCTGTAAAAATGATTTATTGAGTTCCTGCTGCTCCAGAAAAGTCTTAATAAATAAACTTATGACAAAGTGCAGCTACTGTCGTGATGCAAATATATTGCGTTGTGGTTAGAGTCCGAGGATAAAATCTTACTGGTGACTGGATACAAGTACGACGATACTTAGGTTTTCTCTCGGATAATCAGCACCTCTGATGTTCTTGCTTCCTAATCAGAACAGGAGAAGTTAGGAAATGTTTGGTATTAAAATTAAATCTTCCACCTTGCCCTAAACCTTCAGGTTGTTAGCAGTAAGATTCGCGGATGTGATGAAACTATTAGCAATCCATGTGTAACTGACATGTTATGTAGAAACTGAATCCTTCTTCTCCTTCTTGGACCTTGAAAATACATTAACTTTCAAATCATCTTCATACTTCTAGCTACATTGAATTTTCCTACAAATATTAAGAAGGAATTATCCTCTGAATATAATTTTCATTTGCTGGTGGTTCTACCTTCAATTTGAAAAGCATTGTTCATTGAAATTCTACATAAATTATTTACTTTTTTAAAATCTTTCCAGGAATGGTTTGAATCCTTCTCTGAATATGTCGTTGATGACCAACACTGGCATAAAGTGTACACAGTAAGTAATTCATTACTTCTGTTATTCGTTAGTATCAACTGATTTTTCTAACTTTTTGCATCTTTTGTATTGACGTGGATGGCATTTTTGTCGTTCCACTTCATAGCCTACTCAGAACAGTTGATTATTGAACGATAACGATCTTATTTGTTGTATATTTTTCTGATCTATGAGTAATCCAGTTTACATACTTAGATAATGTCTAAATTTATCTGTTTAGATAAATATGGTGGGAGCTGTGCAGTGCACGATTTATAGGTGATCATATTCGCAGTCTGAACGTTTATCTAAGTAACGCAACATCGTTGTATACTTTTTTTTAGCACCATTTATCTAAAGTTAGTCGACAAGATCGAAGCGATCCCATTTTAGTTAATTTATTAGAAGTATAAGACAGTGGAACAGTATTGTTTACCAGTTTACCTTTCGGATATAATTTATTGTCCAAAGTCAAGTCAAAGTAACTACAAAAACTTTGAAACATCCTTTATATAGGCAAGGAAATTAGGACTGAATAACAGATGTCTTGAAGTTGTGTAGTTACCTTGATATGACTATGGACAATAAATTATGTTCGAAATGTGATCCAGTAAACAATACTGTTCAACTGTGTTATACTTCTAATAAATCAACTAAAATAGAATTACATTCTAAAACAGTGCTCAAGTTTTACTCTTATATTAAAGATCGTAGCAATTTGATTTTCTTACCTGTTAGTTTTACTAAACAAAATGCATCTATAGTATTTGAGGAAACTTGTACTCCCTTCGAAATTCAACTTGTATCACTCAGTGCTCCAACCATAATGTGTTAACAGGTGCAAAATTTAAGTTCATATCTGCATTCGGAATGCTTTTGAAGATCATTGAACATCTTCAACTAGGTTCTTGTTTCTTGAATTTTCAATTTATTTCTGTTTAAGTTGGTGAAATAGATGGAATTTAATGTGATTTTCAAGTTCTTGTGTAAAAATCTTCAGGTAGTATATATTCATTCTAGATTGAACAGACTTTGAATATTCTAAGTGCAGAATTGAGTTAGTTAACTATCAACTGATGAATTTGTCCAACAGTTCCAAATACTTGATTGGTTTGATTATAAAGCTTCTAAAACGCAAAGTTAATCGAAGAATCATTAAACATTCATGAAACTAACACTTCATCAGTAATTAGGAATAATGATAGTATAAAATTTATTGGATCGCTTAACAAACTAAATGAATTTGAATAGCATAAATTAGTTAACCTTCATCGCTAAAAGTTTTAAATTCGACTCTAGGAAACAGTTGACAATATACTGTTTTGATTTTGACCCTAATTTGAAATAATATTCCCTGACACTCCATTCTTTGGCTAATAAGGATTTATTAAAAAGCTACTTTTTATCTTCAAATTTTATAGACGAATACAAAATATCTTTTTCAAGCTTATAACTTTCAAACTACGCATTCCATGATCAGAATGATCTGATTAGGCGTGATTCAGTTATGGGATTTCACCTTAATGTTACTTTAGAAACGAATGTGTAGACAACGTGACAAATAGCTTCATGATTGCGAGTATGAAACCTGTATGGAATATTTTACAGACTGAAGTGAATGAATGAATAGATCGGGGTACATTGTAAGTTCCCTCCTAAACAAACGAAATGGCTGTTCGATGTTTAAATCCTCTTCTACCGACCAGTATTGGCGATTTACAAGCTACTCTAGTCAACCTATAGTTTTATTGTCCAGTCATTCTTGGAAGAAAGTTTCACTTTTTTAAAGAATACAAAACAACTTCGTATTTGATTGTTTAAATTCTAAATTTTAGGCTTCATGATACCATTTCACACTTTAAAAGGGTCTCATTTTCAGGCAAATAAGTAACGCTTCGAAAAAAGTTTTTATCACGAACTGCGAATCTGCAGAAATAGGAAAGTGTAGACCCAGTGACTCAATGGCAACGTGCTAACCACGAAACCTTAAGGTCCTGGGTTCGACCCCTGGCCAGGTCATGGATGCGTACTGCTGGTGGGGGGGGGGGCATATTGAGAAGAACGAGCTGTTCAATGTTCCCAGGCTTTCAGTGCTTCTCCAGCTGATGTCAGTCCGTGATGAATACCAACTTGAAGTCAATAAATCCTTCCCTCCAAACCTTCAAATTGAAAAGATAAAATACCTGGGAGCACTAGAAATGTATCTCATCCTATTGTGAGACTCTACCCCATCAGGGATCGAACCCAGGATTGTTTCTTATTTTCTGTGAATTTATGATATATTCCAACCATCGTTCAATGCCATCAGCGAATATTTAACGTCACATCCAAATTGGTTGATCCCACAGACCATGACTTCGTACTAGAACTTCCAGAAGTGCATCTTGAAGCACATCCCTAACAAGCATTGAACTACTATTCAAGCTATACTTTATTGAACCAATGAAAGGATTATTTGCTCATTGCTATAATGATATTCATTCTACTTGTACATATAATATTTCTTCTTTTTTTTGTATCATCATTTTTAGTGTCATTCTGAATGCGCTCCTGGTGGTTGTACAGGTCCAGCAGCTGATCAATGTATCTATGGTTGTAAAGCTTTTGCCACTGAAAGCAGGTAAATCTTTTACTGACAAATAAACAGAATAAATATTTTCAGTTTGAAACTATTGTATAAATTTGTTTTTCAAGTTTTATATTATATGAAGTTTGATATATACTTAGTACTTTCAGTTTGAAACGGAAGGATTCGTTATCGATCTTTAAAGTATGCCATAGAAGTACACGGACGCAGTATCATTTTAAAATATGTATATTGTATTCTTTGACATGTACAGATTTCAGTGTATGAAACTTAGATGGTGTGTATATGTGCATACGTTTAAATAACAAATAAATAAACAAATAAACAAGAGACCGGATGTCATTTGATTAATTGCTCTAAACTGAATAAGGATTGTTTTTAATTAAATAGCCTATTCCTTTTCAATCAATTTCAAATTTATATGAACATAATTGTCCAGATTCCAAGTTAACTGATTAATACACATTCTATCAGAATTAGTTATTTATTTATGACACTGGGAAGAAATTAATTCAGCTCATTAATAGTGATATATTTAGTGGATAATGGTTTACTGTACCTTAAAATAAAATGAAGGATAAACAACTCAGACCCAGTTGTAATGTATTTGTGTATATGGTGCATAAGGCAACACGAAGGCAATTTTAAGAGAGAGAGGAGAAAGTAATGTGTTAATTAGTATTTCTTAGACAAATAACAGTTGATACCCAATTTATCCTAGAGAAGTAAAAGCTGCTACAAGGTACAGGTTGAATGGGAAGATTGAGTTTTCCAGCTACATTTTTTGCATGATTTTAGTGTACCTTTGTAGTGAGTGATCTAGTATAATAATTCTACAGATTTATTTTAGGAGTTAATTTACTTTAAGATATCATACTAAGTTTCGTTTGGACTTATTGAATGATATCCTTTGGGTCTCCTTCAACGACTTCTTGTAGGTTTACGTGCAACAGGTGTACCGAAGTACCCAAAGTAGCAAAGAAACCAGCTCCCAACTATGCCAACACATCTGATTTTGGCTTGTCTGGTTCCGCCCCGAGGGCCAATCCTTCTCTCGAAGTTACGGATCCAATTTTCCGACTTCCCTTACCTACACTGTTCAATTGCCAGAGATTGTTCACTTTGAAGACCTGCTGCGGATATGGGTACAGCCTGCCACTAGAATTATAATGCTTGGCTCGGATTTTCAAGGGCCGACAAGAGCATTCCAGGCACCACAAGGGTGGTGCTTTATGGAGGCTAGTCCCCTACCTCCAGATAAGCCGATTCCAGGGAGTGTATGCACTCCTAGCAAAGAAAAGAGAACTCTTTCCAGAACTCCTGCTGACGTCTTTGAGTTCTGTTGCGTTACCGCTCTTGTTACACTCTGAACCAAAGGCCTAACATGCACCAATCTCCGTGGACAGGGTTGTAAATATTAACCCGATTCCCTTTCGCTACAGGAGGCTGCTTAGCAACAGTATAGTTTGCAGCAATACTGAACAAAGCCTGCGAATGGACATTGTCAGGCACTCCGTCTCTGTTCCGATTTTCCGTATCACTTAGGGCCGCATTACCAATGGCAAACCCTCCTCCACCTTGGCCTTCAAGCTTCTCACTTGAGTATTTGCCACTACCACCAAGATCTGCGCCTGTAGTTGCTTCACCTAGGCTCACGCCTGAGGCGACAAGTAATAATGACTAGTTTATCCGAACGAATAATCGATTGGATTGTTTGGAATTAATGTAATCCAATGTATTAGGTGTGTATGATCCCGAGGTGGTAGTATATTAGAACAAACAAAAATAGGTATTTTATATATTTCATCTATATTTCAATCTTGCTAAGAAGATCGTTTTCAAGTAAAATGCACCATTTAGGCATCAGGGGTAATCACTATAGTTATTAACAAGAATGTTTTGTTCTGATCAGGTTGTACTTAATATCATAGAGAAGGCGTCTAAGTTCGTTACTTTTTGGCGTTTTCATTCAACCAGGTAATCAATGCCTTACTGTCTAATCAATTACTTTATTCGTCATTCATATTGTACGTGATCAGTAGACTGTGATCGAAGCTTAACACCAATGATATGTTATTGATTACTGTCCACTGATGAGGTATTCAGGACTGAGATATAGTCTAGTTATCCAACAGCCGCTTGTTTTCATCCGATAATTCTATTTAATGCATTGAGAATAATTTAATAGTAAATAATTATGTTTCTCAGAAGTAATAGACTTTTGGCTGTTTTATATATTTCCCTATTGATCTTCATATGTTGGTTTATCCTGCTTTTAATTGTCTCTTTACCGCGTGTACCTTCTTCTAGACAATGTGTGTCTGTTTGTCCTCCGGGAACCACAGCATTTGGTGCCTTACGCCTTAGCACTTCACTGAACAATTATGCTAATTCTAACAACAATAATAATGGACAGAAATCACTTGGTCGTCTCAAACCTGAAATCGCATCATCATCATCACTTGCACGTATACGAAGTGGTTATCAGTCCGATATGCGTGATGACCCTATGCATATTAACAGTGTTAGTCAAAATGGTAATAGCCAACAAGGATTTAAAAATGAAATGGTATGTCAACCGTGTTGGTCATTATGTTCATCGTGTATACGTCCACATATTGAATATGATTGTACAGCATGTTCAAATCAACGCTTTCTAGTACCTTTGTTAACAGCGAATGAAGACAAAGGATCATCATTTTCTTATCATCATCCTCATCATGATAATAGTAATGATCATGCTGGTAGTGACGGTAACAATAATAATAATAATAATCATGAAAATACAAAGCTATTAAATTTCAACTTACCTCAAGTAATTGGTACATGTCGAACTGAATGTCCCATTGGTTTCTTTGGTAACAAATCTTCTTCAGTATGTGAAGTGTAAGTCTACCATTATGTCTGAATCATTTTCTAAATTCTCAATAATCCAATTGAAAGTGAATTTGAAACCTGGGTGATTGTAGGACTCGAACCAGGGGTCTCCGGGTTACCAACTTGGCACTCTACCATCTGAGCTACAACGCTTAGCTGGTTACTACATCTTAACTTCATTTCACTGTTGCCATATAACTGTTGGTTCATCGTCTTCACATAAACTACCCGCTCAGAAATTCTCATTTTAATCCGAATCTGGATGAATTAGGAAAGGAGAGTGTCGAATTGATTGTTATTGATAAAACTCTTGGTTTAACAGATTGGTATTATTCGTACAGGACGGTAACTGAAGTAAAGATATAGTCAGCAGCTTAGTCACATAGGTCAGACTGTAGAATTTCGGATCGAAACTGTCAGGCTGCATACTTAGTTAGATTTATCGACCCACTAGCTATACGCAAATGTAAACCGTTGTTTTTTGTTGAAAAGCAATTGTCTTTTCTTGATCTAAACTTACTTTGGTAAAAATAATTATCATATTTTATTAGCAAGCTTCCTTTCCTTCCCTTGTTCCCTTTCTTATTCTTATAAACCTTATCATAATATTAGTTCTGCTTGACTTTCTTCCATTCTCAATTTTTCATATAAAGATGTTCTGACAGATAAATGTGTGATCAAATTCTTGGAAATGTATAAGGCAAACATCATATTTATCAAACAATCTTCATCTTTCAATTATACTACCTAATTCAAAGTTCTCTTTATCGTTTACCATACCGGTTGTGAAGAAAAAGTTATTTTCACTTATTGATTCTTAAAAAATTCTTCGTTGGTGGTCTTACTGGACCGAATTGGTCAGTCTCTGTTAGCATAACATCCTCTTGAGCGAATAACTCATTGTTGCTTTGAATTTTAGGTCGATGTAGTTTGGTTGATGGTGAATAGCAGTGAAATTAATGGTTTATGTTTTATCTTGTCAGTTGATTGTGTACCTACTGAGCGTATGTTAACAGAGATTTATCATTTCAATACAATGAAATTAAAAAAAACGGAAACTAACAATTATCAATAAACAATATCTTATTTTCTGATTTCACTTATTGACTTTTCTTATTGACTCAAAAGCCTAGCGAATCACACTGATGTTTGATACGTTGCATATTCAATCGGAGTCTCAATTGGACCACCATCACATTAAGGTGCTGAGTAGTCCTCAAAAATAGGGAGAAACATGTATCCTATATTCCACTGTCATTCAGCAACGAGTATATAACGCTACACTGAGTTCACTTTAACTGTACAACTTTATAGTATGAACGTTGAAGTCCGGAAAACAACATGAGAAAGCTATGGATATTTTAATACAAATGTCATTGAAGCAAAGTGCACTCATGGCTGTGCCACTGGCAGTAAATAATGTTGGTGTTACGCATAAAGGTGTATCGAAGTCAGATTAATAGGTTACCGGATTGTATCAAAGGAGGTAGCTGGAATGTCTGTTGTATATGAAAAGCAGCTGCTTACATGGAACGGAGAGGTAGTTTAACTGAAAAAGTGTTATTTTCTTGATGCAGGCCTGCATTTATATAGACAGTCAACCATTGATGAACCAAGAGAACCCTGAACATGGATTTGTAGCCTGTTTATCCATCTATTATTATTAGTCCCTTGGGTTCCTAATGGAACATAAGGCTTCAGTAGCACGTCTCCAGTGACCTCTGTTCTCTGAAATCTTTTGAACCTGGCTCCACGACAGCCCACAAGCTCTCATTTCCTCCTCGCACGATCTCCTCCATGTCACCCTCACCGCGGACACCCAACTCGTCGCTTCCCATGGGGATTCCACTCGAGCAACTGGCCTGACGCCTGATGTCCCCAGTCGGCCTTCTCAGTGTATGCCCAATCCATCTCCACTTCCTCCTGCATATTTGTTGTGTGATAGGTTCTTGGTTGGTTCGTTCTCAGAGCTCCTTGTTGCTTATTCTTTCTGGCAATCCATCTGATCTTCAGTAGCGAGCCAGCTGAGGCAGTTGTTGATGAATGTCTGTAGTTTGTTGTAAATCCCTTTCTTGACGCGCCAAGTCTCTCAACAATCATACAGAAGCACTGACTTGACGTTGGTGTTGAAAATCCGGATGTTGTTCCACATGCTGAGTGCAGAAGATCTCCATACTGGTTTCAGGCCAATGAAGGCCTGTCTTGCTTTTCCGATTCTGACTTTGTCTATCCATCTGCTGCTGGTTAACTCATTGTTTTATTGAGAAATGTTACAACTCAGGCTGTCGCACGCACTATTGCTTGAGGTTTTGGTTTTCTTTATCTCTTTTCGTTAATTAAAGCATGTTTCTTCAGCATCGTTCACTGGGAGGCAGGTTCATCCAGCCGTCGAGTCCCAAACAGGATGAGATGCGCTTCCTGGATACCATTACTAGCCACTATCTACCGTGTTTTCACAAGTTGTTGATTCACTAGGTCGAAATGATCTAACTTGGTTGGTGTATGGGTTTTTTATGGTTGTACTACCTTTGATTTCATTGTGAACATAAGGTGGTGCATGTTTTATCCTATTGGAGTGTTCATCGATAGCTGATTTTCTGTCATACGCTATTTCTTATGATACTGAAAACACCGCACGTATATACAGAAAAAGTAACCACTGTCACGCATATCCCATAAATATTGGCTTTGTATCTCAAAGACAGTCAGCTAACCTAATCTAAATGGTTCAAAAAACTTGGGTTGATAAAATTTTGTATGTTGACCTGCAACGAATTGGTCAACGTTTCTAACTCACTCCTCTGTTACTCCACCTGCCATATTCTAGATGCTTAGGTAGTATTGTAAGCTGCTGCACACTGAATACATACGAAATATGGCTTACATCCTTGTACGCTGGTCGACCTACATTTCACCATCAATCTAATATTTTAGGTGTTCTGATCACTTTTTGATTTAAACACTGTACATAAATTGCTGCTGACTATGGCGCAAATGATATTCAAATACAGATGTGGTATAAAAATCAAATTCTACTGAATATTCTCCATACTAGTAAAGTCTACTGTTTCATAGTAATCAAGATTAGTGACTAGCAGTGGAATCCAGGGCGCGCGTTTCGTCTTACTTAGGACTCGTCAGCTGGATGTACCTGCAACTCAGTGGTTAATTTTCTTACCACTAAGACTGGATTGATCGTTTCAAATGGCAGAACGTTATCCAGAGACTGATCGGTTCGGTTGAATCGGCAACAGGCTAACACAAACAACAACATAAATCTTACTGTTTGTTTTGTAAAATCCTCACACCTAGCACATCGATCGTCATCATCACCATGGAAATATACGGTTTATTTACTTAGTTGAACACTGCTCAGCTAGATTAACAGAAACAATAGTATTTATACTGTGTGATGATTGAAGGAGGAATGAAAATTTGGACTGAAATCGGATTAGAACCAGCAACCACCGGGCTTCCAGCCCGATGCTCTACCAATTGAGCTAAGAGATCCGACTACTGACCAGTTGGTAGAGTACCGGATCGAAAACCCAGTGGTCGCTGGTTCGAACTCCACCCGAGGTTCAAATTGTCATTTCACCTTCAATCATCATACAGTATAAATATTAGTCTGTTAAATCACGGCTATCTTAGGCAGTTAAAATTAAACAATGGTAACAGTATTTGTGCAATCGTTTTGAAATTGACACTGCGTTCTTTGTCTTTTTTTCTTTTCGAAAACAACAACAATATAGTTGGAACATTTACAAGTTGATTTCAGTGTGAATTTCGTTATTTCTCTTTCTTTTTTTTCTTATTAGTAAACATGGACAGAGTATTCATGTTTACCCTAGTAATTATTTAACCTCACAGCAACCCTCCAGTATATATACATATGTTTTTATAAGACCAGTCAGTTGTATACTGTTTACATACAAAATATATGTACATGTAATACTTTTCTCTAGTAAACACTGAGTAGTTGTTTTAAACATTCTATCTTTGTATATGCACGCATACTTTCACTTGTTTACTTTATAGTAGAATGAATGACCAAAGATTGTAAATGTTCATAGGCAAAACATTTGAATTGAATCTGGACGTAATCTTGAGTGTATACGAAATAAAAAGACAAAGATAACATATAATTCATAAGTGGTGAATTTCAGCGAAATAGATTTTACTTAGCTAGAAAATGGTTGACTTGTCCACTTCTTATTTTGTAATTATTCTTTTCAGAGGAGAAGTTTTGGACTCAAATGAATTTTGATCTTTCTAAGTTCAAAATGATAGCTTTCTATTCAAAAATGTAAATCAGCTCTACTTTTTGTAGGGTGACTTTAAAGGTCACCCTAACAACTACCAAAATAACCAATCAGGTTGCGGTATTTTGACTGAGAAGACAGTTTTTCATAGAATAGAGAAAAGTGATTGCTTGTTTCATCATTTGCTAGAATGGCCTCCAAAGTTAATCCTTTTTAGTGCACCTACGCTAATGACAACTTCCAGATTGGTGCCAAATCATTTACAGTCTGAAGATTAAGGTTATAAAGCCCTGTAACTACCAGAATATTTGTATCCCTAACCGCAAGTATTTGTTGTCTTACTGATCTTGTCTTTATTGTTTGTAGTTAACAGCTCAACGAGCGACTCTAAAAATCACGCTAGCAACTTCTGAAATAGCCAATCAGTTTCCAATATTTTGGCTGATTGGTTATCTCAAAAGTTGCTGAAGTGGCCTTTAAAGTCAGTTTAACTTAACATTAGTCAGATTTTAAACTATAATGTTTAAAATATCAACTTAGAAAGGGATGTTAGTTGTAGTTTTAACGAATGATGAAATGCAGTTTTATTGACGTTGACTTGACCCTATACTTTTAATGCATCCAAGTCCTACTCTTATCAGAATCAGCATTCTATTGGCTAACGTTTTGAGGCGTAGTTTCATTTGTTAATCTACTGATGTAAATTACACAGTCAGTTGGTTCAGTTTATCGTCTAATAGATTAGTCATTGATTACGTTTTTGAATGTTGATCAGCTGCAATAAACTAGTTGTGTTGGGAGAACTAGAACTTGATTAATTTCCAGACGATAGTAGTTCTTCGACTTTACAAATGAATAGTTTGGCAAGAAGCTGTAAAAATCAAGACGCAAGCTTGTGTTTACTTGTAGTCTCGTTTTTTTGCTACTTACTGGGGTGGAAGTACAGTCCATTCATATTTCTTAGGCAGGAGGAAAAGTATGATCCACTTTTCTGCTAAGGAAATTTCATTGATGGTGATGCATTCGTTTTCTAGAAAATTTATTATATGAAGTTAAATGTTTTATTCTAAACGTTTATTATTCACCTGAACTTCCATCTCATTTCTTTAGATGTGCTGAAAATTGTGCACAGTGTATTGGACCGAAGTCTGATGAATGCCGTGAATGCTATCATGGTTTTCGATTGATTCTTGGGAGATGTGTTGATAGAATGTCAACTGATGGTCGTTGTAAATCAGGTGGGTTGATTTCTGTGAATAATTATTACTTTTGGCTTGATTTTATGTGAATAGGCGTTTCTAATTCTATGCAGTGGTCTTATATACTGAATAATCCGCATGGTTTAGTCAGTTTTTTTTTCTTGAAAATACACATCAGTTTCAGGGTACAACGATTTGATGACAATCTTTATTGATGGATTTCAAGAACCGTTCAATTCGCAATCTACCAGATCGTTGGCAACTAATCCAAGCATAAATTTAACTTATTGATCACTAAATTTATGAACTTTCCTTCAGTAGTAATGTTGACCTTGGTGACGTTCCCCTTTGTATGACAATTTTCCAACTACAACTTTGATTGTGATAATAACTTGGTGCAAAAATTCATATCTTGTAACCACGTGAATAAAAAATATCCTAATCCCCTATCTATCAGATGGTTTCAACGTTTCGCACGAAAGTCTGGTCCACGCTTCTTCAGGGAAATAATCAAAATTAAAATATCAGGGATATATAAATGAATCCAAAAAACTTTTATTTAATCTCCTTGTCCAATCCTCTTCGTTTAGTCGTTGTCTTTCTAAAATATGATAACTAACCATTCAATGTGGAATTGTATATCTCTTATTGTATGGCTAGCTAGTGTATGTGTGTATGTGTGTTATTCTGTCATGCTCTCCCTAATTGTAAATATCAGACGAAAAAGCCCACAGGTGACGTTATAGTCATTCGGTAATTTTATAAGTACAGTGGAATACATGAGGCGGATATGTATGTTATTTCAATTGGTGCATGGGGCTGAATAGTACTAACAGACTTTCAAGTGATTTGCCGGAACAGAATGGAAATGAGTGGTAGTAATAATAATGATTAAGATCATTTCAGATTGTGTTGTTGATGCAGAAATAATAAAGTTGAGAATGATATTGACGGTAAATGCTAGAGTCACTCTTTCTGCTTACTAATTAGTAATTGCCAAGAGGTAGCTAACTGTACTTCATCTCGTCTGCTCAAACTGTCTGAATTCGCCCATATATGTAGGGCTTTGGGTTTCAATCTTTTTTGGTATAACCCAAAACCATTTTGTAGAACCTTGGTTCCGTCAAAGTCAATTTTGTGTCCCATTTCTATGGAGTGTAATGCGATTGCGGATTCATTTCCTAGCATATTAATGCTTCTCTACTGAGGTTTTCAGAATCGGCTTTAAGCATAATTTATGCTCCTTCACCTGCCTGGCTGTCTCCCCTATATATACTACAGTACAATCTGCTCATTTGATTTTATAAACGCACTTCTGTTGATTTTCTTTAGGTACTACATCTTTAACTTTCATTGTTAGAGTGTTGCACGGTAGTAAACTCTTGTGTCGTTTTTGTTGAGAATCCTTCTTATATCTTCTTAGGTCTCCTTATTGTATGAGATTATGACCATGTTTATTCAGTTCTTCGGAGGAAGTTTCGGTATATCTTTAGTTTCAAATGAACTTTCTCTCTCTCTCTCTCTCTTGTCTTAACTACTTGTCAGTTGTTATTAGTGGTTATGATAGTGGTTGCATTGTGTAAATAGAATAATTTCCAGGTGGAAACATATTTGACAGTAAATATATTAATATTATAGTGAATATTATATACCATCCAGCAACGCCGTGTTATTTCCAAGGATCTCAGAAAATGTCTTCAGGCATTGGATTCCTACATTACATTCTGAGAAGATTGTTCAGCTTCTTAGATGAATCATTCCCCTAAGAAAGTGTAAATGAAAAAAAAAACACTAATCCGTTATATTCGTACTTACACAATACTCAAATATTTCCAAGACATTGAATCCCAACTTGCTTTGAATATCTGATAAACAAAAATGCTAACTATGAACGATTGAAATTTTGTAGGTACATGTAAAGACCAGCTGACTTTTTTGTCAATATTCATTTAATAATCAGTATATGTGTATGCATTTCATATATTTTCCACTTGAAAATAATAATTCCTTTTTATTATTTTTTTTCTCGATATATTCCTCTTCTTTAACAAAACTTTCTCAAGGACAATATTTAAAACATTCCGAATGTGTAAACTGTCATCCGTCTTGTGATAAAACAGGTTGTGTAACATCGAATCAATGTAATTGGTGTCCAAGTCATTTATCGTAAGTTCATTTGATTGGAGCTAAATGATTGAGTGTATGGATATTGATACTGGGTGATGATTGAATACGAAATGAAAATTTTGACCACGGTGAAATTCGTACCAGTAACCACTGAGTCATCAGCCCGATGCTCTGTCAACTGAGCTGCGTTGAGCACTGGGCCGGAAACTTCCAGTAGTTGCTGGTTCGAATCCCGCCGCTGTCTAAATTTTCCATTTTAAATTTAATTCAGCTAACATTAGAAATCGGGAAGTAGATTTTCCTGTTTGTGCATTCAATCTCCTTGGTATGGCTTACACTCCTGATTGGTTTCGGACATAGTGCGATATAGCCCAGAATCGATGTATTTGTTGATCTAACTAAACAGTAACTACTGTAGTACATACTTTTATTTTTCTCTTTCCGATATTATTATATTGTTTTTTAATGGGTACCTTCGTCTTTATGTTTTGCTAAGTTTGTGCTTCCTAAACCACTCAGCAACAGTACTTACTTGGTTACGTATTTAAAGGATTATTATTATTATTATTTATCCCTTGGGTTCCAAGTGGAACATACGGCTTCAGGAGCACGTCGCCATTTCACTTTCTTCTCTGCAGTCTTTTAAACCTCGCTCTACGACTGCCCACAAGCTTTCATTGCTTTCCCACACCATCTCCTCCATGTCACTGTAGCCTTGGACGCCCAACTCGTCGTTTCTTATGTGGGTTCGACTCGACAGCCTGGCGCGTGATGTCTCCGAATGGTCTTCTCAGTGTGTGCCAAATCTAAACCATCTACACCTTCTTCTTCTGCATATTTGTTGGGTGATGGGTTCTTGATTGGTTCGTTGCCTGATCAAAGTGGGTTCCTTGTTGCTTATTCTTCCTCCCCATCTACCTGATCAGCATCGAGTGAGTGTAGGCGGCAGCTGTTGATGATGTATGTGTATAGTTTTTGGAAATGCTTTTCGTAACGCGCCAAGTTTCTCAACCTTCATATAGAGTCACTAACTTGACTGAATTAGTGTTGAAAATCCGGATCTTGTTCACACACCACGCTTTACGCTGAGTGCAGTGCAGTGGAGTGCAGTAGATGTCTACACTGATTTCAGATTAATGCAGGAAGGTCTGTCTTGCTGTCTTTCTTCCGATCCTGGCTGCTTGGACGTCCTTATTTGTGCCGCCGCCTGTGGTTGAAACAATGCTGTTTAGGTAGGTGTGTGAAAGAGACTATTTCCCTTAGGTTTCTCCCGTTAATGGTGATTGGTGCTTGTTGTTGATGCGGTTGTTGGTTGGGTATCTTCATCACCTCTGTCTTCTCTATGTTCACTTGAAGTCCCGTTTTCACTGCCCCTTCTATCAACTTGTTGGTTTTTGCCTGTAGACCTTCGAGTTTGTGCTACAAGATATTAGACATAAATCATCATCATCGACGAAATCAAAATCTTCTAGGGTCTTTTCATCGGTCTAGCCAGCGTATGTCCCTCTTCTCACTCCTCACAGTTTATTGCATCATCCAGTCCTGTTAAAAATTTAGGTTGATCTCAATTTATCTAGTAATGCAGATCTTAACAGTAATTGATCCGAAGTTGTCTTACCTGCATTCCAACTCAAGGTTTCGTCTTCTGAAGTCAACAAACTTCTTTTCAATAGTTATTTGTAACATGAACTGGTATAACAAGTTTATATATTTTCAACTAATTAAATATTATCCATATATGTGTTTTTATTTTCTACTTGATATAGAAACTTTTTTAATTACACTTGTACAAAATCTTGTCCAGAAGGTTGGTATTCTGGTGTACAGATTAAACCTCCATTTTATTCAACTGATGTACAAAATCAAATGTCTACTACTAAACAAGCCTATCCAGTACATATGTGTGAACCTTGTTCACCCGGTTGTCAAAGGTGTACTAATTTTAGTTCTTGTGAAGTATGTTTACCATATTTGAAACTATACAATGGTACATGTGTATTGTCATCGGATAAGAGCGCTACGAATTATTCGATTATAGACAATAATATAAATAACAGGTAAGTCATTCATTATATACTGTAGATTGACACCATTTTTTTCTTCTCAGCTTAATCCACACGTTTTTCATACAGATCATTATTGTTCATCGTAGTAGCTTTTCGATAAACATTGAATTCTAGAGGAAAAATTCTTTTCCATAATTTAGAAATAGCGCAATACATGTTATAGTATGTGTTTGTGTAACCTTCGACCACACCTACTTCATTGTTTTTGTTCTTTGAACAACCTCTGATGAATAAAGTTTGATCTATACAGACATACGTAACTTATTTATACTGGGTGGTGATTGAAGGTGAAATGAAAAGCCAGCTCACTACAAAACTCGAATCAACAGCCTTCGGGTTACTTGTAAGGTACTCTACCGACTGAGCTGACAGGCTCCAATCACCAAGGTTTTCTGCTCGGCTGCCATGTTAGTCAGTGAACCGTAACTTCCTGTTCATAGTAATCAAGTTGGTCACCCGATCATGTCTTCTTTTGTATGGTCAATTAAGTGCCCAATACTAAGAGATTAAGGACTATTGTTTACCTTCTACTATTCAGTCTAAGAATTCGTGGAGCTCACGACTTAGAATCCAAGTTGTAATAAGTCGTTTAGATTTGGTCGATTTACCCATCAACTTCCTTTACTATCTTTGATCTTTTTACTACTATTTGAATAGTATGTTTACTTGTATGGTTGTTTAACAACTGTTTATTAACTATGCCCTACATCATGGATCAACTCTTCCTGTTAACGCTGTACAATATTTTATGTGTTAACTATTTGGTGTATATATCCTCTGGACTTGAGCAAAATAACAATCGCTTTCATATTTCAATTCTTCTATCCTCTAAATTCAATTAATATGCTATATACTCATAGATTATTTGGTAATTTATGGTATTGGACTCGAAATCACATCACTTATAAATGATATTAAGGACTTAAGTGTTACATAAACTTCATATCAGTTATAGGATCACAGTTAGCTGTGAATCTTTCCTTCGACTAACAAACAATATCCATCCATTTGAGCAGCAGCTTAATAACTTACTGTTAATTTTATATTCGCTGAACTATATTCTTGGAATATAATTTCCTTCACCATAGAAAAATAAAACTCCCATTGTACTTTTGACAGAATTTCACCTTTTTTATAACAAGTCAATGGAAAAGTAAATATTTTAAACAATGAGATAAATAAGAAACACTCATTTCATCACTATCTCCAGATATAATTGTACACTGAATGCTGATAGCTTAAATTGAAATCGTACCAGCTTCAAGTATTACTTCTGTTCTTAAATCCTAACCATCATCAGTAAAGGATAAGATATACAATGCTAGTGTTGCATACTAATTATGTTGTTATGCTTATATACACACTTGAAAGCGTTTTTAATGTGAAACAAAAATATACTGGATTAATTATGTTTAAGGTTGCGATCACTGATCGATATCAGTCAGAGAACCCTTGAAAACCTAGAAGCATCGGTCAGCTGTTCCATCCTAATCTGAGACTCCTCAGTAATATCCATCCATGAATCCATATGGGATAGAATCCGAAACTGTCAGGTCTCGTGGTGAGCGCATTCCTGTTCCAACAGAAAAAGTCAAATTAGTATCAACATAGGGCCATGTGTTACTGTACAATGGTCCAAATTGCTACACCTCGTATCAGCACAACAAGCAATAAAGTAGTAAGATGAAAGATAAAGAAAGAAAGAAAGAAAAACCGATGGAAAGCAGTAGAATGTAGTCGAAGGGAATATTGATGAAGGAGAAAATGCTGAATTTAGTCTAGCGAAAAAGCTGAAAAGAATATATGGATACATCTTCGCCACTGGCGTCGATTCTAAACCATATCACATAGAGTCTGCAACCACTGATCTCGGCTGTCATGCAGATCTCAACTTGCTAGGCTGCTTAAACCAACAGTCAAAGACTTCAGGAATTGATGCCATGTTTTAGTCCCGCCGTCCTGAGCCTTTTTCCAGCCTGAATATACTTAAGCTAACATTCCACGACGAGGTAGACGGTGACTAGGTATGTGCAACACATGTCCCAGCCATCTCAGTCGATGAAGGTTCACAACCTCAGCAACCGGCTTTCCTCTTCTCATTAAAGCTCTGCACCTGCCTTTGCGTTATATGATGGCACCATGAGATATGACCTATGCTGTGAAGACAACGGTGGTCAAATACTAGAAGCCTTCTCATGTCTTCTACCTTTCATGACTATGTTTCACAGCCATATAGTAGGACATAGTAAACAACAGCACAGTACACTTGACCCTTAATAGGAAACCGGGTATCATGACAGAACCTCATATAGCTTAAGTTCTCAACAGCCGATCGAACCTTTTCTATCCGTGCAGAGATTTTGTTGACCATTGAGTCACCATGGCTCACCCGACTTCCTAAGTAGGTGAAGTGTTCAACGCACTCAACCAATTTACTTCCTACTGTCAGCCAGAGCACCGCTGAAGACCAGTCCTGGAGCAACAATTTGCATTTGTGTAGCGAAAAATACATTCCAAACATTCTCAAATTGCCACTCAAGGTGTCCAGAAGACTGCATCTTTTGAGCTTCTTCACCTGATAGGACTATATCATCTGGGTATTTTAGGTCTACTCAAAATTCTCCTGTAACTAGGTCAATCCCTGTGATGTCAGATGATGAGAGGGAGACCTTCATAAGAACGAGTGCGATAAAATTGAACAAGAATGGAAAGAGTGAGCATCCTTGAAAGACACCACTCGACATACACAGCTCAACTGACAATTTAGCATGGGCTCTAACACGCTCACGAGTGTTCGAGTAAAGGGCCTTCAGCAGAATGATCTACTTACTGGGTACCCTTTTCAGTGAGGGACATTATCATAAGACCTCTCGGTTGACGGAGTCGGATGCTGGTCTCGGTCTGGAAATACAGCTAGTGTAGGGTGTTGGTAAGAGTCCCTGTGTTCCATAACGTGGCGGAGTGTTAATGTTTGGTTCGTTCACCCACGGTTAGGTGTAAAATACGCCTTCTTAGCTCTGATTTTCTGTTCCTGAGCACCACTCAGATGTCTAATGATAATGGGACCTAGAATTTTAGACGCTATATTCAACAGGCTTATCCCTTTGCGGTTGTCACAGGAGGAGATCTCACCTTTGTTGAAGATTGAGACAATTGGTGGTTGAGAGCAGTCAGTTGGGTATCGTATCTGACTCCCACACACTAGTTAACACTTCAATAAACTTGACTAGAAATCCTCTACCACCATCTTTAAGTATCTTTGGAACTTGTTCTCCTGGCCTTACTGCTCTTTCTCGTTTTATGTTAATTATGGTTCGCTCGATGTCTGCAAGTGTTGATGATCCTATTTTGATATTCCATTCAGGCTGTGACTGGATAGTGGGCAACGAAATGGTAGCTGGAGGCCAATTGAACTGTTGCTCGAAATGTCCCACCCATTGGGTTGTAACTCACAGTGATCATCCAACGGCATTGATGAATATTTTACTTAGTGGTCGAATATATATATATATATATATATATATATATATATATAGCGTTTTCAGAACACACCTTTTTAAAGATCATGTCTTAGAATCGTTCGGTATGACACTTCTGTATTGTTCACTTGTATCGTGGGTGCTCAAAATCATATAAAATCTCATATTTTTAGAAAAAATTGTAATTATACAAAAGAAAGTATCTTTTCAAACACAATTCCATTTTATTTTTCCTTAAATATTATTTTTCAGTCAGGTTATTGATGATAGATCAATTGGATTATCATCAAACCAGTGTGGTTCGACATTATGTTCCACATGTTATGATGGTATGAGAAAGAGTTGTTTGTCTTGTTTACCAGACTATTATTTACTAGAGATAACTCTTTTCAACGCTCTTCGAAATGCTGATCTGTTCAGTGGAGATTTGAACAATTTCTCATCTTCGTCACCATCTTCCTCTTCTTCTTCTTCTTTTTCTTCGCCTGCCGCCTCCTTCTCCTCCTTAGCATCTGTATTAAATCAGACAAGCCATCCATTCAATATATCATCAGTGGGAATGACCATGACTAACAGCACCTCAGTGACATCAACTAAAAACTCCCTGCTTACTAATGCTACTACTACTACTAACAATAATGATGAGACGATAATTAAAAATTCATCTCTATTCAAAAAAATTATGAAGAATCGAGAGGTGCTTATATCAAGACGTTTTGTACATTATAAAAATAATGATGATCATAATTCTAATGGTTTGGATTCACTCCATCCTAAATTTATCTGTGTACATATATGTCCCACTGGATATTATGTAAAAAGGACATCTTCGAATGGTTATGAAATTAAAATATGCTCAAAATGCGCTCCATCATGTTCTAGTTGTACAGGTAAGTTGTTAGTTGATTATTTTATGATTTCTCTTAATTTTTTTAATTTGTCTTGTATGATTGAATACTCTCATATACACATCCAAACGTGTACATTACATAACTCAATGATACATACACATTTAAAGGATGCCATTCAATTGTCAACTGACTTGCAACTTCCAATTATAAACTAATTTTATTTCTTTAACTACGTTTATTTCATTTTGTATATTTGTTATATCATCATGCAAAGATAATCATTATGTAGCGCTCTCCAACATATGCTAGTCTCATACTGTTTTCTGTAACTGCAGTGTCTGTTTCATATATATATATATATATATATATATATATATATATATATATATATATATATATATTATCATTTGATCATCTGAGATAGCCGTAGTTCGGCAGACTAGTGTTTATACTTGGTGATGATTGAAGTTGAAATGGCCTCGTAGCTCAGTTGATAGAGCATCGGGCCGGAATCCCGATGATCGATGGTTTGAATCCGTCCGCGGTCCAAATTTTCATTTCACCTTTAATCATCACCTAGTATACATTTGCCTTTATAAACTTGAATAGGTAAAGAATGACAGTTAGAATAGAACAACATACCTTATTTCAATCGGTGATTTGTAAGAGTTGATTGATTGTAAGGTAGTATTCACCGTAGACTGAAATCATTTAGAAAACCATTAGAAAGTATTGAACGTCTGTTTCGTCCCAATGACTTTGTTTGAGATAGATTTCAATAAGTTCTAGTGGGGAGCTGTGAGGCGTATGCTTACTTCTTACATTGGATGATAGTCATAATATAATCAGAATTGACGAAAGTAGAACAATGCCGACAATTGAATTTCAACCGAGTGGTTTCAGAGGTTACATTTCGTTCTGTTCTGTTATACACCTGTGAAAGATGGTCTTTAAAAGAAGTAGATACAAAACAGTCACAGGGTTTTGATCATAGTTGTCTTCGTAGCATTTCTCCTGCATGGTGAAATCGCTGTATGAGCAATGTTGAAGTCAGGCGAAGGGTACTAGGCAAGACAGGCAAGTTGATTGATGAGGTTGTGAACTTTCATCATCTGAAGTGGCTGGAATATGTGTTACGCACGCCAAGTTACCGCCTACCTCGACATGTAGTGATAGCGGAAGCTGGGTTGGGTCGGAAGAGGGCCCAGAGTGACCAGACCAATACGTGTTACCAGTTCATGAAATCCTTGACTGTTAGTCTCAGCCGTATGTGTAGATGCAGACTACTTCACTCGGATCCGCGAGATGAAAGGACTTTTGGTGCCGTGGTTGAAAATCTGTCACAGTAGTGTAGATGTATTCACTCCTTGACGTCTTCTAAAGCTTGGATATTTACCCTAAGCTTTATCTTCAAATTACTTATTCTGTCATATAGCTTTGTCAACTCTGAAGTCTTTTTTTTCTATCCACCTGTCCATTGTATACTACTGTGAAGTGCGGAAGCTTGTGTGCGAGGTTCTTCGTTGATTCTGTCCGTCATTCACATGCTTGCCGTAAGAGCTGATAGTCCCGGTTTCGACCTCTGAAGAGGTTACGAGTACGCAGTGCTGAGAAGTTGCAGACTAAGAAAATACAACTGTGCAGTGCTCCCAGATCTTCAATGGTTCAAAAAGCTAAAATGTAAAGGAAGCAATTTGTTAAATAACTAAAGACTTGCGTAAACCCACGAATATGAAGATCAGTGAGAATTAAACCACATTAACTACAAAGTAAGATAGGCTATAATTAAAGTAACTTCGAATTACCAAGGTGAAGAGGGATCAAACACAGTCAAGTTTGTAGGTTTAAAATGTCACATTGCATTAGCTCCACGAAAGTATAACAAAAGCAGCAGTTTCTGTTGATTTACTGTCCTAAAGGCTTCATACATATCTATTTAGTGTCCACTTTCCACAAGGTTTCTGGTTATTTCACTTATTGATACTTTTCTCTGTTTTGAACACAAATTTCTTGGGACATGGTCATAAATCTAGTAGGTGCTTTAATCTCAGTTTTTCCTGCAAGTACAAATACATGGAGAAAATTTGTACATACTTCATGCAATGAAACGAAATAAGAATCCGGCTAAAGGTAACTAGATATGCTGATTGGTTCCAGTCATTTTTCTTATTCAACTGAAAGTTAAAAGTTATTTATACGGTTAGTGTAAAGTCACCTTCAGGTTAAAAAAGTATAAATAACATTAGCTGTTATTCCTGAGCTTTATCTAGGTACGGACTATGAAAGAGCCTAAAATCATTAGGTTGATCCCGCTGTAGTTGTCAGGAGAGGATTTTTCTTCCCTTGAAGACTGAGACAGTTAGTGAATGAGATAAGTTAGGGGCGATTATATCTGATTTCTGTGTCAGTCAGTTTAACCATTATTCGTAAATCACTAGTCTTAAATACCGCCTGTTCTAGTTTGCTTACGCTGACTGAGATACCAGAAATGCACATTACACGCGCTGAACTATCATCTAACCTAACTAACGGTGTTGTTTGCAGTAGGATTAGATTTTCAAGAGCTAAAGATTGCCATGTGAAGATGCTGCGTAGATGTTTTATGTTACTAACTCCAGGAAGTAACTTAATTAGTAGACTCTTAAAGGAATGGCTGAAAATCGATCATAATTGTACAGATCTATCCACTGTTTGTAGTTTTGTTTCATTTAATTCTCCTCCCTACTTTCCTCCTCATTTACTTCAGTATCGATCTATTTTTGCTCTCTTCTTCATTTTCAGCTGCTTCTAAATCATACGACTTAAACTGTTATGCTTTTTCTGATTTTGTTTAATTTTATATTGCTACTTGTATTACCCTATTGTTGATTGGACCGACATGATCGGTCTCTGTTAACAGGTGCATCCAGCTGACGAGTCCCAAATAGGACGAAACGCAAGTTCTGAATTCCACTGCTAGTTACTACCCATCATTTATTTAACTTTATCTATCTGTATGAGTCCTAATGAGATTTCAGTTGCAGTAGTATTTGGTCAGTAGAGCTTCAGAAATACAGCTGGTCTTTTCTATCATTTTAGTCAAGATAGCAAGAGTTACGAACAATCATTTCTATGAATTAGACCCATAAAGGAGAATACGGACCTGATAGCTAGGACTCTCTCCACAAATAGTAAGATTTCACGTTGGTATTCATCATGGACTGACATCAGTTGGAGAAACATTAGAAACCTAGGAGCAATGAACAGCTGTTTCGTCCTAGTATCGGACTCCTCAGCAGTACACACCCATAACCCCGCCATGGATCGAACTCAGGACCTTCAGGTTCCGTTACCAGCACGTTACCACTGAGCCACTGGGTCGGAATCCAATGGCTGAATATGTTAGGTAGTATAGCTCCGAATCTCTCCCAGAGGTACGGATCCATTCACTTTTTGTCTGGCTATAAATAGTGGATATTTTACCATTTTACATTTACATATTTCCTATGATAGCATGTCTTTTTCTAGTTCATTTCCAACTTATTCATTGTTTTCCTCAGTTATGCATTTCTCTGTTATTTTAAAGTGTAGTATTTCAGAGCCGAACAAAATTATTGTACTAAGCCATACAACACTTTTGACTGGCTCTGAAGGTCAATCCTAGTAGCGACTGAAACAACCAATTGGGATTCTATATTTCCACTGGAAAAGTCTTTTTTCACCCAGCAGGAAAACACAATTGGTTCTTTCAGTAGTCGTTAGAGTGACCTTTAGAGTCATTCACAATTTTTCAATCAGATTATCAAGAAATAGTATAGATTCCTCGAGAATTGATTGATTAGTTGATTTTCATCTTACAGTTTCATTGGTAAATAGCGTGTATTTACCTTAATTGTTTGTTTTAAAACTACTATAACCACTGATTGGAATGGAAAATTGAATCGTGAATTATAAGAATGGGAAGCTGACAATTTTTAGCTCTGTTTATGTGTTATGCTATTCAATGTAGACTTAAATTTATAAAACTGGTGTAAATAAAAGAAAGGTATACTTAACGAGTTATTTTATATCGTTTGAACATACCGACAGTTAAACTAGGTATAGTTAACATTGTTATAATTAGTATTCTTATGATAAAGCTTAGTGAGAACTTTTTCTATATACTCGGCATTCATAATGTAAATGAAAGTTTTGCGTTAAGACCCATTCTTTCACTTCAGTGACATTATTATCTGTCAGCATTGTTTTTTTGTTTTTAGACTATAAAATTAGTAATTGAAATCTTTTAGTATAATGAGTACAAAAGCACCGCCAGTTTAATGTATAGTTAAGTTAAACTCATAAACTCATTCAAATCTGATTATTGTAACCGCCTAGAATAAGTGTTAGGTGATAAATTGTTGCGTTATACAATAGTGGTTACTTAAATTGGAAATCAACTTTTTGTTACATCTAATTTCCAATCAGATACTGACAAACACATTAATGTTTAATCACTTCCTAATGCTACTTGGTAAGAATTGAGACGAGATATGACTGAACGACTAATGTATTTGGTTGCATCACCTTAAACAGAAGTTGCTTCTCGTACGTGGCTTATTTGGTGGAATAGCTCAACTATTACAAAAAGGCCCTTCAATTTAAGGCTTGATCATACTTTGAGATCTATTCTAAGCTTAGTCAAATTTCAAAATGTGAGAAAATATCGAGATCCATTCAGTAACCTTGTCCACTTTTGTGCAGTAGTTCATCAGCCTATTATGTAAGAGTTAGTGATACTCTCTGGTTACTCAAACCTAGTCAAATGAAACTGAATTCAAAAATTCGACCCATTGGTTGAAAGTAGAGAACTTGGACCAATAAACCACAGTCTGGTAACATAATAAACATATGAAAAAGGAAAAAAATAATAATACCAAAATATGGATTAAGAAATGAAGTTAATCAAACTGATACTCTATCGCGTTGTATTTCATACTGTTACGGTTAATCTAGCAGTTATTGTTATTATTTAGAAACAGTTCTCTGTTAGGGCCGCTAACGATGCATGGATATCGAGTGTCAATCACCAACGTTCAACAAATTCCTAGTTGATTTCCGACCCGACTAATTAATGGAGAAGACACAATGGATGTGTAGGAACGTGTATTGGGGTCGAAAGACCAAAGGCCCAAAACAAAGAAAAACATAACTAATATATAGAAAGTCCGCTGTTTAAAATAATACGGTTGGTTGGCTGATTCATCATCTGTCTGTCTAACTATAGAAGTAATAACATAAAGTACATTTTTACTGGTCCCTCTCCAGACTAGTCATTTCTCTCCATCCCTGTATTTGGGGTCAGACTGGGCTGCGATGTCTTTTCTTGCAGAGGGAGTTTCACCTTGTTTACTGGGTGATCGGTAGTCTTCTCGATATTCTCTCGGTGAGTAGGTATATGAGCATGAAAACCAAGTCAAGAGATTTACCTACGAATCAAGAATGGGATCTGCAACGGTATCTGGAGGATGACCTTTGTACACTTAATTGTGTGTGTTGGCGGCAAAAATCGTCTTTATGGCCTTCAGCATTACAGTCCCGGCATCGATTTTGTCTAGGTGGACAAGATTTGACGAAATGCCAGGAACCACAATGCCAGCAATACGATAGGGGTATCTTCGAGGGTCGGTTGGTATTTCATGAATTACTGGGCCGATGAACCTGAAAGGTAAGACCACGGGATGTGTGGCCAGAAGGAGTGATCCAGAGGAATGAGATCATTTACAAAATCAACTGGAATAACTGCAGTCAACACTACATTGAACAAAGTGGTCAACCTCTTCGCCTTCGCTTACAAGAGCACCAATTGGCTATTAAACGTCACGACATTTCATCACTCATTTCAATTCATGTAGATAATTATGGACATGAATTCAGTTTTGACAATGTAGAAATTTTGGAGAGAGGAAACACAAAGAGAATATCAGAGAATTCCTAGAAGTGTGGCATTCAGGTCAGTCAGTCAGCAATCAACAGATGTATAAACATAGGCCCAATCTATCAACTACTGAGAAAAAATAATAACCGACAGAAAGGTCAGAGAGCAAGCAGAGGAAGAGTCAACAGGAAAATCTATGAAGTCAATGATACAACAATCAGTGGAAACAACCAATCACAAACCACTTGATCAAGGGAAGCTACTAAATCATTCATGGAGAGATATTAACAACTGACTTCATACTGAAGTTAGTGCTGATGTTGTCTAGCAAGATGATGAGAGCTCCACGATTAAACAACCCAGCTCAGAGAACACAATACAACCAAGACCATACACCTGAGCTACAAATATTCTCCATTATTTCAAAATTATACGTAGAACCTTGCATATCACAATTAGAAGAGTACTGATCTTCTAGTTTTGGGGTTGTTTTTGGTGGAAGTATTGAATTTTGCCCCTTTTGATTAGTTTTGAAAGGATGTTGAACTGGTCAATCAAGTTGAAGGTAACTATGCGAACTGTGTGAGAAACTTAGAATTATTGAAAAGATGTCATTGGTTATAGATAGGCTTATGCAGAATTTCGATGATCATAATGTGGATCAAATCGACAAAAGAAATTGTTTCTGATATGATCGTCATGCACTATTTTCTAATTCTACGGGAGTCTTTCATATGTCTACGCTTCACAAAAATGACGGAATCACGAACTCGAAGTTCAGTTCATACTTAAGTATGTTGCGCACCTTAAAACCTAATCATAACCTTTAACTCCCTAAACCCTACTATAATTTCAAATAAGTTTCCATTACCCATTAAGTCATAAAACAGGCAACAAAACGCTAATAGGTTCTCTTTTCAACGCTGGTGGTTAGAGAATCGTTTCCTTTACTAGTGCATTCAAGGTCGCTAATATGACGGTGAAATTATATAGTTCCATCGGTTGCTTAATTCGAAGTAAATTATTTCTTAATACCATCATGTTAAGGAAAGAAGTGACTGAGATATATTTTTTCGATGAAAGCTAAATAATTATTGCCAATTTCAACTAACCTAGCCGACTGGTTAGGTAGCTGATACTTAGCACCATTACATATGCAGAGTCTCTTGAAAACAAAACACAGTGTTCCCCAATATAGACGATTCGATTGTTAGTGATGTTTCGATGAGGAGTGCAAAGAAATGATACTCAACAGCTTCGTGCTGACTGCCTCAAACAATCTGACGTTAAACTCTATAAACCCAACCTTCATTATAGCCAGTGAGCATATTTCCTGTGTGCTTCATTTTAGTTAATCTGCAGATGTCGAGTTTATAACACAAATATCTTACACACACAAAACTTGTCCCTCTGTGAATTTTTTGTGTTGGGAAAGAGAATTCGTTTTTTTGGGGGGGAGAAATTATTCATCATTTTCTGGGTATAGAAAACTCACTGTTATTACTTTTTACCAATACGATTATTTATTCTCATTATCGTTTATCCTTACAGATATATCACATTGTAATTTGTGTCAGACGGGTTTCTATTTAGACAAAAAGACCAATACTTGTTTATTACGAACTCAATGTCGTCTTTCTGAATACTTTGATGAAGACTTGGGTGTAAGTATCCACTTATGCATATTTATGTACGCATTTACTTGATGATTTTGATGCTCTGAACAAAACTCCTATTTTAGAACATCAGTAATTAATTTTTGGTTATTTTTAAATAGTTTTTGTAAAAATATATATATATCTTTGGATGTTAGCTGCATTCTATGAAAGTAGTCAATGAGCTTCATAAAAGAAGGCGTAAGATAAGTTATTATTCAGAGACCACTTCTTGATACAGAGAAGAACGATAGTCATTCATAGCTAGGCTAATTCAACAATAACATCATCAGATGATTCAGAAATCTTGTAAACTCACTGTGGGGACTAGAAAATGAAGCATGCAAATAGTAGATATCTAGACAGTAATAATAATTATCTCAATGATGATAAGAATAATGGGAACAGCATGGTACTGCGGAAATCTTGGTCAAACAATGTAGTTCAAAAAACTTGGAAAAAGTAAAAGCTACGCAGTACTAGAGGATGAAGTGTGTAGACCATCAAAGTCTAAGCAAAATAAACATATGTAAAAGGGGTGAAGAATGGGGAAGAGGATGAACACATGAAGAAAACGAGGAAGAAATCTGATCAAATGATTATCCAAAAGAAATCATTATTCATGAAGCTTTAATTTAAAGAGGACGCACCTTGTGAAGTTCTATTCCACAGGCTGTCTACAGTTATCAAAAGAACCTTCTGTGCTGCTAACCTTTGCTTATCATTTTCTAGTCGGCTGATAATCGTTGCTCAGACAAAAGACAAGCTGTCCAATTTTTCCACTTCTATGTGCATTTGTTAATTCAGCTACTCCTGTGAAGAAAGCTGTATCGGACATACAATTAGGTAATTCAATAAACGTTGCTGAGCGCCTATTGTCATGGCTAGGAAAGGGACAAGTGAAGTCAATACGAAGTTCAATTCTGTCACATTTGGTCGACCAAAGCGTTCAAAATCATTTATCATATTCCATAAAATCTTTCGAATCGAATTCGCACTCTCATTTTACATGTATCTGAGGCTATAGGAATCAGAGAAAACAAACCTAGTCATTGTGTTTAGAAAAAGTTTTTGTAGCCTTTATCTCTGCCTTGACCAGAGAAAATCTAATAAATAACTTCAAAGATATATTCAGTTTTCATTCTCTTCTCCGTTCTTCACCCCTTTTACATATGTTTATTTTGCTTAGACTTTGATGGTCTACACACTTCATCCTCTAGTATTGCGTAACTTTTACTTTTTCCAAGTTTTTGAACTACATTGTTTGACCAAGATTTCTGCAGTACCATGCTGTTCCCATTATTCTTATCATTACTGAGATGTTATTGAGGACTGATGTCAGTCCGTGATGAATACTACCTCAAAATTAAAATCCTTATTCATCTCAAAAATACAGCACTGTATAGCGCTCATTAGTGACATGCTTCCAGACGAATATTACGAAGTTCTAATGAAAATCCGTGACTTATGGGAGTCAACCAGTCGGAAGGGAAGCGGATGACATCGGAAGACCTTGGGTAATAGTCACGTTATATCCTGAATTGACAGAAGTTGGAAACTGTAAACCATTGAATTCAAACCCATTGGCTGAATGGTTAACGTGTTCACTGTGAAATCTGAAGATCCTGAGTTCGATTTATGGCGGGGTCGTAGGTGCGTACTGCTGAGGAGTCCCATGCTAGGATTAAACAGCTTTCCAGTACTCCAAAGTTTTCAGTGGTTCTCTAACTCATATCGGTCTGTGATGAATACTACCTCAAGACTAAAATCCCCATTCATCTCGAAAATAAATAATTAATATTGTCTAGATATCTACTATTTAGATGCTTCCTTTCCTAGTTACTACAGTCTACAGAATCCACCATAGTTGGTTTAATGTTGTATATATATATAGCGTAAAGTCTGATGAGACCGAATATTTTTAGCAGGAGATTTTGATTAATTTGATTGATTTCCTGTTGTCTGGGTTTAATTTATGATTATAACTTTCATATGAACATGAAAGTTGGTAAGAAATTTTATCGTTATCTATTAATCATGTATATATCATTATGTATATCTGGTTAAAATATATATTAAATTATGTAAAATAAAATTCTAAGTGAAAATTAAACAATCCAGTCACCTGAACTCCTGCTGAACAGGTGAATGGAAAGCTACTGACTACGTGGAAAGATTTATGTCAATCTTCTACAATTAAAGTCAAATACAATTCAAGTTCGTTCTGTCAGTTTATACATTCCAAATAGTTAGAACATATTATCCTTCTTCAATTGAAAGAACTTCTTTCTTTTATTTGAGTAAAGCATTTTCAACTTTACCAGTTTAACCTTTTTTTAAAACACAATTTATTCCAACAAAAATAAATTATTTGATCAATTCAAGATACTCACAGTGTATAAAAAGAAGAAGGATAGATAAACCAATAAGTGAGATTTAATCAGCACTAAATTAATCATGCCATAATACATGCAAAAAGGTTCATTTGAAATTTCCAATCATAATAAAAATATTTCATTTCAATTTGTAGGTTTATGGGAACTTAATTTATTGGTTTTAGGTTGGTATTCATCATGGACTAGGATTTTTACAGTGGTGAAACTATTGGAGACCTGACGGGGCTATGTGTGCGTACGGCTGATGAGTTCCATAATAGCTCGAAACAGCTATCCGATGCTTCTAGATTTCCAATGGTTCTCTAACTGACATTAGTCTATGACATCTCATTTTTACAGTCCTATCACCTCTTATTCTTTCTTTTTATTGATTGTAAAATCTTCCATATCTCTGGTATATGTTGCGTCATTTGGTTTGGTGTTTGGTGTAGATTCGATGAACAAAGATTCAGTAATCAATCTCCCTCCACCTAATTATATTGGCCTTAAGTACAGTGGCTTTGTCCCACCCACCTTATTGTATAGTTGTATGTTACTGCATGCACTAGAATAGCCGAGTTTTTTTCTAGATTATTGATCTTTTTCGGGTCTATCATTCTATATTTAGCTAACTCCCTATGTTCGACTATTCTAACTGACCCTAAGCAAAGCTGAGATGAAATTACTCGAAAAAGGACTAAACTTCAACGTGACAATAGGTCATCTAGAGCCAGGTGTCATACCTAGCATAGAAGTAGTGTTAAGCTCGGTGGATGCAGCAACTGCTGAACAGGTTAGAGCACAGTGTGCGTTACCATTAAAAAGGCAAAAGAAGAGACAACGAATCTTAACAAAACTTGAAAATTCAGCTCTGAATAATCTATGGAATGACAATAATATAGTAATTATTAAGTCTAGCGAACGCAATGAAACAGTAGTTATGAACAAATTGGATTACTTCAACAAAATTGACGACCATATCCAAACAGGACCATATGAAGAAACCAAGAAGCCCTTAGACACGGTCATGAATAAAATCAGGAAATCTACAGCCGATCTGATACACCGACTAAAGTCATCTTAAGGCGAGTCCAAATGGTTAAGTTTAATGCCTTAAACCAATAATCCTAGCAGAATTTATGGCACTATTAAGGTTCATAAACCAGGTTATCCCATTAGACCCATAGTTGACTTCAAAAACGCCCCAACATATGAACTAGCAAAGTGCTTAGCATCGATATTATCTCCTATTAGGAACTGTTCAAGTTCTAGACTGGCAAACTCTTACGGGTTAAAACTAAGACTTAATGACATACATATAGAAGAGGATGAAAAAATGGTTAGCTTCGATGTAACAATCAATATGGCACTGGAGGCAATCACAAATCAACTAAATACTGACTCAGAACTGGATCCGAGAACTAAGATATCGCTTGATGAGATCATATTAGGCATACAGTTATGCCTGACCTCCACAGTCTTCAAGTTTCAGCACAAAATATACAGACAAACAAAAGGAGTAGCAATGGGATCACCAATATCCCCAATTGTAGCAGATATGTTTATGGATAGTTGGGAAAACACAGCTTTACAAACGTTCAGTCCTGCACCAAAAACATGGTGGCGACATGTGGATGACACATTTACTGTGTTGGAATTGGAACATGTCGACAATTTCCTCACACATATAAACTCAGTAGTAGGCTCAATCCAATTCACTTACGAGGTAGAAAGTGAACAAGGAGAATTACCTATGTTGGATTGCAGAATAAAATGAAGGACAGATGGTGGTTTGGATATTACCGTCTACATAAAACCAACACATTCTAACAGGTATCTAGACTCCAAGTCATCTGATCCAATGTCAGTGTTAAGGCAGGTTTGGTCATCAAATGTCTAAATGATAGGGCTAGAGAACTGACTAATCAGTGGAAGGATCTAAACAATGAATTGAAACACGTAAAATAAGCACTACTAGTTAATAATTATCCCCTGCAGTAAGTATATTAAGAAATTCCTATGAATACATAAGACAGGAAATAACAGTAATATGAGTATGAATAATAACGACATCACAAATAGAAAGGAGTTCACAGCCTCCATAGTGTTACTCTATAAAGAAGACACATCAGAAACTTTACATAGAATCCTCAACAAAGCTGGAATTAGTTATGGTGGTATTTAAACCTACACACTCACTCAGAGATAAGCTTTGCCGGCTGGCTTAAGGATCCGATAGAACCAAAATGATCTGACCTATCAAATTCCATGTGATGACTGTGAAGTCAAGTACATAGGTGAAACTAGCCTGTTGGGTGGGGTCAGTTCGACTAGTCGAACATATGAATTTAGCTAAATATAGAATGATAGACCTGAATAAGATCAATAATGTGGAGAAAAGAAAGCTCGTCTATTGCATGCATTAACATACAACCACACAATTAAGTTGAGTGGGACAAAGCCAATATGATTAGGTGGAGAGGGAGATTGATTACTGAATCTTTGTTCATCGAATCTACACCAAACACCAAACCAAATGATGCAATACATATACCAGAGATATGGAAGATTTTACAATCAATAAAAAGAAAGAATGAGAGGTGATAGGACTGTAAAAATGAGATGTTGAAAGTAGTGTGATTACGTTGATGTGATTATGAGCAACATTTTATGCTTGAAACGTCATTAGGTAGATAATACTGTATCACTATGTGTTATAAATCGAATAAACAAATCTAATATGAGGGATCAGACAAAGTTTGTATTTGTGTAAGTCATAGAATGTTTGAAATGAAATAGTTCCAACACACTGCATGGAAGTCTAGTCCTAGCTTCTTCAGGAAGAGAGAAGAAGCTTGAATTGGACTGTCGTGCGAAACTTCGGAATTATTTCATTTTAAACACTGTGTGACTTACATAAATACAAACTATATCTAATGTCAACCTTCTACTCAGCGTTCAATATTTTTGTCATACAATTTAGTTAAATCTTGAGTATGGTATATTAGTAGTCAACAAAGTTCAGGCATATCAGTGAATTGTACAATAGATTTGTAAGATTACATAAGGTTAATGAATGCAACCCTGTAAACTTGCATAATTGTATTTTTGTTTTAAGTTGTTGAAATAAGATAATCTTATCACATTTTTAAATACTGGCATATTTACTGTTTAAAGTAGACGTTTTGTTCTTTCACAGTGGAAAAGATGTATTCCAAGCAAAGTCCCTGAACTCTATGTAACAGTATAGAACCAAGAATTTTATTGCTGATAAGTGATCTAGTCTATATACATGAATACTTGAAGGAAATCGGTGTTTATCTCCATCTTTGCCTACACAAACACTGATTGACTGTTACATGATACAATATCTCATCTGATATACAAAATCTGTATGGATTGGTATGAATATTACTAAGACTACCTCCAACTAAATGACTACAACACACTAATTTTTCAGACTAATTAGATTTTATCACGACCACCATCTATCAACCTATCATAGAGGCACTACAGAGATGTTATTTTGTCAAGCACAAGACAGTTATTCAAACAATGCAATACATTTGCCATCTTTAATATATCTGACTGTGCATTTGTAAAGAATTTAGTAGAAGTCGAGTTTTTTTTGAATTTTGAAGCTCTGATTATATTGCCCATTGTGTCAGTAGAAACCTTTTATACATTTAGATCCCTTGGTACATTTGGATAAAACAAGAAGGATGCCATTCACAGAATAAAATAATATCACTTCATTTCACGAATACTCTTCAGTTGCATACGGTCTAAAAGTATATAAAATATTCCCAAATTAGAAAATCAATAACATGTAAAAGAATTACTAATTGTACAGAGGTAAGAAATGTAAGAAAGGAAAGAAATAATAACAACAAATCCACAGAGTTATATAATGGAAATGGAAAGTAAACAGCATCAAGGGAGTGAGAGACTAATCACACTCTTCTCCTGTATGAAAAAATCAAGTCGAAAGTGTTTTATTGTAATCGATTCCGTGTGACTCAGTAATGCAAACATTCTCTGTACGTTTATTACCTGAAAAGCACTCGAAGTTACCACCCGATGTCCTATGTCTTCGAGATGTCTGGCAATTGGACTGGTTAGAATTTTACTTCATTTCAAGCACAGATTCTTGAGGATATGCTCAGCGAACCGAATGAACACCCTTCTCTCAGTCCTTCGAATGTAGTTGCCAGTGCAAGTGGATGTGGATGTGAATTCATAAATACAGTTGAAGGTGGGTGACATGAGCGGAGTAATTATTCAGTTTTGACTAATTAAGTGAGCACTTGGTATTGTATAGTGATACCTGTTTAGCTGTAGGAAAGCGACTTCTCAGTGCTCCTTCGATTCTTGCATTTATTCACTTGAATACTGAATCTCTCTTGAGTGTATGGTGAATAATAACTTTCTTGTCTTCCACAGTTGAGTGTTTATTTCTCTTGATCTCTTCATAATAAATCTCTCATGATAAGTATTCTCTGAGAGATACTTGTGAATGAAGTTTAGTTCTTTCTGTGACTTCTTCATAGAACATAATTTCCTAGGTCTGTTGTTGTAAAGTGTTTTGATTAGTTCATGCATATAGCTGGGAGGACAGAAACTGTTATAGTTAAGGTTATTGCCTAGTCCATGTGTCTTTTCTATAGATGGTCTTTTCAATCCTACTCTCAGTTCTTCTCACGTAGAAGCTTTTTAGTTAGGTTATATATTTAGAGAATACGAATACACAAATACTGGCAACATTTGTAAGGAAAGTAATAAGCTCATCTTGTTCTTACTCCTTGCTAATAACTCTGATAAACAAACGGCGAAAAGGAATCCTTTTTCAAGTTTCCCATCATTATCAAGACTTCTTATAGCACAGTTTTAGATATATAATCCTAGTCAGCTTTGTCCTTCAATTTTCTTTTGGATAGGCAATAATAACTGAAGGTGAAAAGGGAAACCTATGCTGCGTCATCAGTAATATTAGTCAGCTAAATCACGGATATCTGATATATATTCTCATCACCAATCTCTTTTTCACTTAATTCGTTTACTTCTTTTTCTTATTTTACTGGGAAAAATGCCCATCTGTTCAATTTTATTATCAAAGTGGTGTGTTTTTTATGTATTCATAGTTTTCAACTGTTTTTCCTTTAGACATGTCGACCATGTGATCCTAATTGTAGAACTTGTTCTGGACCACATTCATTTCAATGTACCAGTTGTAATCGAAAACCTCCACTTCCACGATGTTTATTAACAAATCAACGTGTTTCAAAATTGCATAGAACTTCAAAAGATTTGATTACATGGTCAGATCAATCTAACTCAGAACTTAATTCTGGACAGTGTTTAATTTGTTGTCCTTATCGACTAGCTTTAACCAGTCGAGATCCTAGACAATGTATGTTCTGTGTTGCTGATAAATGTAAGTTATAGTGTTCAAATGCTGTTTACATTTCTTTTAGCTATCGTAATTAACTGTTTCTAGCTAAGTTTAAATAATTAAATGACCAATTTTTTCTTCAAATCTGTTTTTAAAACTACTTTCTTCTTGAACATTGACTCTGTTAGCTAACGAAAGTACTCAAGTTGAGTTCTACAGTTGACGATTATCATTATCAAAGACAGTATGAAAATTTTAATGGGTTTTGAGTTCAAAAAAAGAACCCACTTTTTCAGATGGTGTGCAAAGTTTATTAACGTCTAGTTTAACTCAAACAATAACCTTTTTAATCAAGTTGTTTGCATTATCACGTCGTTGGTTGAACCGAATTGATCGGCCTCTATTGGCATATGGGCTCCTGCGCGGATGCCCCAATATTGCCTGTGTTCGGACCATATATTTAATGATGGGTAGTCGCTAGCAGTGGAATCTAGGACTCACGCTTCGTCCTGTTCAGGACTCTTCAGCTGGATGTACCTGCCTTCTAGTGACTGATGTTGTTCCAATTGGGATTCGAACTGGGGACCGATCGCTTTAATTGCCAGAGCGTTATCCACTACACCAACGAGCCACGATAGCTACTTCTTTTGTGACGGGTATAGTTTTAATGAAGTTGCTTGCAATATTAAGGCATCCACACAGGAGCCCATATGCCAACATAGACCGACCATTTCAGTCCAATCGACGACGAGATAATACAATCAATACCATTAAAACTATACCCATCGGACAAGAAGTGGTTGTCGTGACTTGGTGGTTTAGTAGATGATGCTCTGGCGTTTGAAGCGATCGGTCCCGAGTTCGAGTCCCTGTGAGGATAATATCACTCCCCGGGAGGCAGTTACATCCAGCCGACGAGTCCCGAACAGGACGAAATGTGCGTCCTAGATTCCACTGCTAGCCATTATCCATCACTAATAAGTAACTTTTTTTCTTGTTAGCATTACAAGGCATATATTTCCCACTTTTGGAGATTGTCTGACACTGATTCAACTGAAATTTTGTCCTTTTAAACTCATATTGTTATGGTATATTTAAAACCTTAAGAAAACTCCTGCTACTCTTTAATTTCAAACTTGTAAGATTTACCTTCCCCATAGAAAAACTAAATTCTCAAATTTCTTCCGATTAAATATGATCCTAAACATTTAACCATAAATGTGTTGCATCATTTTATCGTGTTTGTTGTTGTTGTTGTTAACCTGATGGGTATATTTGATTGCTTATCCAAAGGAATTCGAATTCAGTACTGAGATTATAATGTAACATAGCTTTCTAGTTGATGATTTTGAGTTTGTTTTGGGAAATAAACATGGTATGAAATAGTAATATGTATTTTTACTATTTATTGACATACTTGTTATTCTCCATTGTTTTGTTGGATCGAATTGCTCAACCTCTATTGGCATATGGGCTCTTATGTGGATGCCTCGATATTGCCTGAATGTTAATTATGATAATTTGGTTGGTTGTAGCTGGCATATCCAGCTGACGAGTTCCAAATAGGATGAAACGCGCGTCCTGGATTCTTCTGCTAGCCACAACCAACCAAAATATGTATTTTTCCTGAAAAATAAAGAATACTTCTTTTATCCACAAAACTACTAATGAAATATATTATACTGAATAGTAAACAGTTCAGCTACTGTTTATCGTTAGCAATAATCAAGTTTTATCTATTCACTGTGTGTGTGTGTGTGCGCGTAACTGATTAATTTCAAAGTAGTTTTAATCATATCTTAACACTAGTTAGGGAACTAAAAGGTATTGACTTAAATTTTGGTTCTAGTTTTAGATTGTTCAATACTATATGTACATTGATAACTTTATAGAGAATTAAGCTCAAGGACTTCTGAACTCATAGTAAAGCAGCATCCTACCATTCGATAAATGTATCAGAATTCAGATATCCATAACAACAGCTTAAATTGAAATCACTGTGTTATTTCCTCAGGGTATAATTGATGAAAACTGTGAACAAGCATTCGAATGAATCCTAATTGTAACTGAGTAGTTGACTAAATCATACACAAGATGGAATTTTGTAAAGAGCTTCGTTGTTATAACCACCATAAAGTAAATAATTATTGTAAGCTTTACTCTTATATGATTTAGCTATACTTAAGTGATGTGACCGCACTTTTTTTGAATTGTTTCACCTAATTATGTTAAGGATGGATCGTGGTTAGCAGTGGAATCCAGGATGCGCATTTCGTCCGGTTTGGGACTCGTCAGCTGGATGTATCTGCTTCCCAGTGAGTGATGTTGTTCCCGAGTCCGAATCCCGGTGGGGACAACATCACTCACTGGGAAGCAGATACATCCAGCTGACGAGTCCCAAACCGGACGAAATGCGCATCCTGGATTCCACTGCTAGCCACGATCCATCCTTAACATAATTAGATTGCTGGCAATATCGAGGCATCCGCACAGGAGCCCATATGCTAACAGAGACTGATCAATTCGGTCCAACTAACGACGGTATCATATAAAAACCCTTACACTGTTTCACCTAATTTTTGAGGGAGAGAGACAGAGAGGAATTAAGGAGTAACATGACCACAGTTAAACAGATATTAAAGAGTAGAACTCTTGATTGACCTCCAGTTATCTTTAAACATCTTGGCTGAACATTCTATTCAGGAATGTTTTTTCTAAAGAATACAATTTGTGGTAAACTGGTACACAGACATAAGGATGAACTAAAGTGGTCAATTGTCTTTCACATATACTAATATTGATTAATGATTGAAGAGTACAATCTGAAGCTTGATAGAAAGGAAGTCCTACTGAATGCACAGTTGGTTTATTATTATTATTTATGTAAGCACTTCTTAATTTAATTCAAACTCCATTTTGTTATTACATTAGCATTCTTGGTTCAGTTACTAGTTTCTCACTGCCTTCCATACTGATAGGTGTTTACTTATTGTGTTATTTGATTCTACAATTTTTAATTTCAACTCACATTTATTCCCATTGTCAAATATTTTCATATTTCTTATGTAACTTCCATTCTTATATTATTTTTGTGACTGTAACCTACTGCGAATTATTGTTTAGCAGACAGATGAACCTTGAACACAAGTGCATCAGTTTAAGTTGTCACACTTCATAATAGTATATGAAGAACTGTTGGATGGAAAAAGAGTAACATCAAAGTAGATAAGGTTGTATGAAAGAATAAACAATTTGAAGATAGGGATTAGTGCGAATGGTTTAACGGCGAATCACGTTCAAGTATTCACTGGCCAATCAGAATTAAGAATTTGAAGGATAAAGTGGTTATTTAGGTAAATGCTACTTTATTTACAGTTAGTTTATGTTTCATATGAGAAATAGATATGTCTAAATTTTCTAGCAGGTTTATCGTCTTTGGAATTATACCATCTTCTATATTACCACTAATCCATATGAGATAATATCATTTAAATGATATTTAGGAAATGATATTCGTGATCCCGTTAAAGGTTTTAATAACTTTCTAAGACGACTTCACATATTTTCAAAGTTGTTTGTTTGTCGGATCAGCGAAATGCTTTTTGTCAACAATAACTTGATGGGGGGTAACATATTTCAGATAAAACGTTTGTGTATATCGTGGTACCCAATGCCACGTGTTTCCTCAAATCTGCTACGGTAGATTTCTCTGATATATTCTTCATCTACTGAAAATACTCCTTCGTATTTGCCCTATATATATATATAGGTCATCTTCATAATTTATCAAATGTTTGTGTAGCGTCAACAACACGGAAAATGGACATAACGAATAGCTTCAATAAATCATCTCCAACCTGAATAGTCGTCCTCAACATCTTTCACTAAAGTTCATTTGTGAACCGTGCGAATATTCAAGCTTTAAAAGACATCAAAAAGGGAATACATCTCCGCCACTGTGACCGACTCTCAGCCATGTCACCAAGAGTCCACAACAACTGATTCCTGTCATCTCAAGGACCTCAACCAGGTAGTCCACATCTCCAAACATGACTTAGATAAACAGTCATAGGATTCATCGACTGGTGCCACGTCTTGGTCTGGCCACCCTCAGCCCTCTTCCAACCTAATCCAACTTCCCGTAGCATTGCGCGTCGAAGTAAGCGGTGACTGGAAATGCGCAGTACACATGCAAGCCACTTCAGACAATGAACGTTCTCAACCTCATCAGTCATTTGCATGTCTTGCCTGACCTCAAATTTACTCATACGGTGATTCCACTGGAGGCGAGCAATGCTACGAAGACACATATGATCAAAACCTTGTAATTAACTAGTGTCTTCTCTTGTAACAGCTATCGCTCACAGCCGTATAACAGGACAGAACGGACTGCAGCTCAGTAAACTTGTCCTCTGTTAGATAGTTGAATATCTCGCCAGTTGGCTGTGCCAAAGATGATGTAAGTTGGCGAATGCCAAATGAGTTATGTATTCGAGCTGAAATTTCGTCAGTGTCCAGTATGTTCAGGCTGATACAACTCCCCGAGTAAGTGAAGTGGTTGACACATCCCACCACTTAACTGGGAGTAATGGTTGGGCTTGCATATCACAATGACCCAACCAGCTATGCTGGTGGAACACTTGTTCCCTCGAGGTCCTAACTATACCAGAAAGGTCTGTTGGGTAGTGATTAAACGAAGGCAGTTGCCGTTGTGGTGTAAATTACTACACTATGATGGGGGTCTGAGGGCGAAGTCGTACTGCTGCTAGCTGGATGGGGTGCGACAGCGGTAAGATGTTTCTCTTCGATGACCAGTAGTGCCATACTGATGCCACCTTCTTGGTGGAAGAGGGGGTCCGAAAAGGTCGTTCCACAAAATAACACACTCCACCATACCCCACGATCTGCCCAGCCGGTGGTATTGGTTCATTTGTCGTTTCTTTTCGACCATCCGACCAAAAAACAACAAAAGTTTAAAACAATCATACACAAAAGGCTGTGTGTGACAGGCCTCAAACAGATGTCCACTGGGCTCTATGGTCACACAAATATCCTTCAGACACCTTAAGAAGAAATAGCCTTCCATGGTGTGGGCAACCGGAAAGTGTCAACCGCCCTCACAACTCTGTCAGCACTCAAGTTTCCTCAGACCGCTATCCAACTCCCCCATCATTACCTTCTAATCTTCCTTCACTTCTCTCAGCTAACAATACTACATCATCTTCAATTTCTCCTGGCTCTGCAGCCTTCGACAACGATCTGAATCCACGAAACAGCATACTTGGTCTCCTTAAACTACGCTCCAACTTATGTATTGGAGCTTCGATATCCTCATCCTTCGTCAAACTGGTCAACAGGCTTCGTTAGCAAAGACTCTAGCAACTCGGGCCATGGGTGTGTGCTGTGTTTGTGAGGTACACATACAGGACTCAAGTACGGTTAATCCTCTTGACCTCTTCCGGCCAATCTGGTGAATCCACAAAATTCTCCCTTCGAGTTTCTGGAGATTCGTTAGCTAGCTCTCATGGTCTGGCAGATGTAGGCATAGCATTAAGCACTAGGGCAGAAAACTCACTAGTGGACCAGAGTTGATATTCGACTTTACGTTGTCCGGCTGAACGACACAGTGGGAACTAAAAGGAATAGTGAGACTCGCAGTTGTCTCTTTGTAATCTCTGCTTACGCACCCACTGACTGCAGCTCGGATGAAGTGAAGGACGAGTTCTACAGTAAACTGTCTAGCCTCCTCTCGAAAGCCAAACGTTCGGACGTGGTGGTTGTTGCAGGTGACTTCAATGCACAGGTGGATAGACTGACTGAGGCAGGAAGGCACTTCGGTGGCACTTTCGGAGTCCCGGCTAACGAACAGATAACGATGATCACCTACTTCAACTACGCTCAGATAACTGCCTATTTTTAGCTAGCACAAATTTCAGACATAAAGAAAGACACTGTCTGACGTGGCGTCCATCGAGCTCCACTCAGCGATGGACACAGATAGACCACATTGCTATCAGTCATCGCTGGAGAGGATCGGTGGAAGACTGCCGCTCCTTCTGGAGTACATGTTTGGATAGCGACTACGCGTTGATCCGAGAGCATATATACCTGCGTCTCAGTGGACGTAGGAAAAATCCGGCAACAAAACCATTAAGAGTGCAGCTCGACAACGAAAACACCTAACCCGTGTTCAGTTAGAAGTTGGCTAGGCAGTTATCGGAACAAAAGACTATCACTTATCCATCCAAAGAAGCTTAGTGCCATCTACAGTCTGCTGTAAAAGCAGCGCTGAAAACCGTAACCGACTCAGAAACAGTCGCTACAAAGAGCCAGTGGATATTAGCAGCTTCTTCCGAACCAATGCATGCACCTGAACGCATCCCTGGAGGCTCTGAGTACAATGAAGAGTGAGCGCAACTTAAAAGTAGATTGAGAAAAAGTCTAAGCAACGACCTCGAACAGTGGTGGGCAGCGAAGGCTAAAGAGATGGAGAAGGTGGCGGCGATTGGTATCTGCAGACAGTTATTTAGGCTTATTAAGGAAACTGGGGGGAAATGTGAACAATGGTTAGTTAGGCTATAGAGGAAAGGGACAGATCTATGATTCACTCTCAGGGGAGACGACTGGAACGATGGGCAGAACACTTCGAGAAACAGTTTAACTGGCCTCCAGACACCATTACGTTGTCCGCTATCCAGTCGGATCCTAAATGGAACATTGAGATAGGCCACCCAACACTAGCAGAAATCGAGAAAGTAATAGGTAACCTGAAACGAGGAAGGGCAGCAGAACCAGACGGACCAACTCCAGAGGTATACAAGAATGGTGGTAAGGTGCTCTTAGTCAGGTTAACGGAAGTGTTAACCAGTATATGGAAATCAAATACGATCCCCTCCGATTGGTCTAAATCACTGATTATCCTAGTCTTCAAGAAAGGTGAGAAGTCCTCTTGTGACAACCACAGAGGAATCAGCCTGACGAACATAGTGTCTAAAATTCTAGGTTCTATACTTCTTCGACGCTTGAGTGGAGCTTGGGAACAGCAAGCTCGAGAAAACCAGACAGACAGGCTTTACACCCGGTCGCGGGTGTATTGTCCAAATATTCCCACTGTGTCAGGTTGTGGAATATAGGCACGCTTACCGACGCCCGACAATAGCTGTATTTCTCGACCTAAAGGTGGTGTTCGACTGCGCTGATCGAGAAGTCTTATAGCAATGTCTCTCACTGAAAGGCGTCCTGGGTGAGTACATCACCTTATTGAAGGCTCTCTACTCGAACACTTGTGGGCATGTTAGAGCCTATAGTGAGATGTCCAGGGAGCTATGCTCATCGAGTGGTGTCCGTCAGGGGTGCCGACTCTCTGCATTTTTATCCAATTTTATCATAGATATTCTTATGGAGGTTTCCCTCTCGTCACTAAAAGATCCTGTTGATGCAAGTAAGCACAATAATCTGGTTTGCGAAATCCGTTGCAATGATTTCAGAGTTAAATACAGAGATCAAAGTAGTCGACCAGGGTTGATCAGACTAACAGAGCACAAAAGCTTAGCTAAATCAAGACTAATAGGTGCTAATAAAATTTTTAAAAAACGCTCTGCTGTAGCTCTACACGCAATTAGATTCAATCACACAGTAAGGTGGGATAGAGGGATAGCATTAAAGACTAACTTAGTTCGGTGGAGGAAGAGGTTGATAACCAAATCTTTGTTTGTTGAATCAATACGAAATAAATGCAGTAATAGAAATGATTATGCGCTTTGTCCCAGATATATGGAAAATTCTATTACACCTTGTCATCACAAAGAAGGAGAGAAAAATAAGAACTATATAAAGTCTGTCTCGAAGTTGAGGGGTTACTTGATATGAATATGGACAATAAATTGTGTCCAAAATGTTATCCAGTAAATCATACTGTTTCACTGTGTGACATTTCTAATAAATACACTAAAATGGGATTAACAGATATCAAGTTAAAATATCGACAATTAAGAATCTAAGTATCTGCATTTCTAATGATAAATGTTTTTTGTAGAAACAATAGTTTACTTAAGAATTATGTATCAATTTTATTCACCTTTATTTTATAACTATGATTTATTTAATTTGATTATTGTTGTTTTTCTTATCTTACATAATATATCCAGTGTTTTGTCTTAGTGGTGATGAAATCGGTGCTGGAGAAAGTGGTTATATCCTAGAAGAAGTTAATAGTAAAGAGAAATCATTATGGAAGTTATTCACCAAAGAACCATCTCGTCTAATTCTATTAATTATATGCATTGTAGTCATTGGTTTATTATTGATACTTATTATAGTACACTTTATAGTTAGACGCCGTTGTTGTTGTCATCATCATCAAGGTCAATATTGCCTTTGTTGTTGTCATAGTGGATATAATGGACAACATAAGAAACGAAGTAAACAAATTGTAACATCTGTTACTAGAAAACGTAAAGCTAGACAATTAGCTCATTTAACTAACAACAATAATAATCATTATCATTATTATCAATATGATCATCATCATCATCATCCTAATCAATATTTCTATAATTCACATGATGAAGAAGATGATGTTGATGATGCGAAAGCGGAACAAATTTCATTAAAATCGAAAAGAAGGAAAAACAATGATATAACCATATCATTCATTGATAATGATGATTGTACTGTTGCTACTACTGATCATAATAATAACAATAATAATAATAATAATCATGTTAATACTGGTCATTCATATATTCCATGTTATAAATCATTGAATTGTTCAAATGGGAAATTACACAGTGGAAGTGTACATCGATTAAACTCAGAAGATCAAATGAATTCACATATTGTTCAACATTCTATAATTACTTCAACGTTAACACCAACAACACCATTACTAACAACAGCTACAATGAACTTTACAAATCTACATCAACAACAACAACAACACGAGTTGAATAATACAACATCTGGTAATGAAGATAATGATAATTATGATGATGATGTTGAAGATAGAGATGTTAGTAATATAAGTGAATCATCTATACCAAGTGAGATAAACAGCTGATATTTTAATACAATTGACAATATTAGCCTTATTCTGTTTCACATTGCCTTTGTTATCTTCTGTGTGAAAATAGTAGAATAGATTTTTTTTCTTAATTTTATTTATTTTAAATAATCATATTCATTCATTCCTATTCCCTTGAGTATTTGCAGCCATCTTTACATGAATTAACATTATATATAATCTCATCTATACACTTACATAATACACTAATAACATAATACAAATTGTTATTAGTAGATTGTACTAGAAAGTAAAGAAATCAGTGATTATTAATTATCATTTACGCCTAGAAAAATGCGTATACAATCAAACGGATATCAGTAACATTGATATACAAAGTGATTTTATTTCAAAAATGTGGGGGGGGCGAACAACAATAACAACTGAAAATTTCTTTCCTATTCATTATTTTTTAATCTTTTCTTTTCTTTTCCTGCATTATTGCATGTACACATTGGTGTGTGTGTGTGTGTGTGTGTGTGTGTGTGTGTGTGTGTGTACCATTTACATATACGTTTTGTGATTTTATCCCAAATATGTATAATTTATGTGTAAATTAGTAGTAATATGAATTGATATTACGTATACACAACTTTCATGATATAGTATAGAAATGAAACCTTAAAATTGACATACTTTATATATAATACCCGAAGAAGTTGTCAATACTGAATGAATGAATGAATATATGTATACACATATTCGTAGAAATATGCATAAACTGTGAAAAATATTATAGAATGTTGTTTTTAACTTTTCTTCTTTCTTTCCTTTCTGAACACTCATTCAACTACCCAGTTTTATTTTCTCTCATATTGCCTTACCTTTTTTTTTTCTTTTTGAACAAAAAACAAAAAAAAATTTAATTTTCACCTCTCCTTTTTTAATGAGATAACATTGAAATTTTGTTTGCATTAGTACATATGTATGTATGTATGTAAAGCTTTTCTTAATATCAAATAAGACTGTTTCATTTCATTTTACTTTTGTGATTGACTAACTCATTCATACATTCATTTATCGGTTATTTTTAATTCTTAATAAGGTTTTATTGTTATTTTCTATGCACATGACAAATAACTCTCATTAATTTAATTAGTACAATTACTGTTATTATTATTATTACTGCTATTGCCGCTGTTAATACTTATGTTAATTCTTTTGTTTATTGCCTTATTTTACAAACTTTTTCTTCATTTTTTTTTTAGAAAAAAATTGTATTTTTTAATTGTTTTCATATTAATTATCATGTACTCATTTGAAAGGCCTACCACCGCCAGCTGTAGACTGCTGCTGCTGCTACACGTGCCTTATAATATGCGCTACCCTTTTAGAATTATGCCTATCTAATGTATAATTAATGAGTATAGTTTATAACAATGATTCTTATTATTATGATTACCTGTCAGATCTCATTCAACTTCTGCTGATACGATTTACTACTGCTGAAAATAACCACCTTTTATAATATATTACTAGTAATCATAATAACTACTACTACTACTACTACTGCTGCTAGTCTTGTTCACAAGAAATTCGAACAAAACATTTCAGTAGTGGCATAATTGTAATATTTTCGTTGCTATCTTGTCCACTTTTGTACTATTCCCATTTACACTTTTATTTTTTTGAAGTATTTCTGCTGGGCATGGTTAATTTCTTTTTTTGTTTTGTTTGCTTTTATCATTGTTGAGGGTAGTGAATGGCAATCGGAGAGAAAAGATGTATGAGATATTAACTTTGTGTGTTGTATAACGCCATACTTAATTTGTAGGTATATCCATGAGATAGGAAAATAGCAAAGTTAACAAGTAAGAAGAAGATCTCAGGAGCTTTTGCGAAACATGACTCCACTTACCATCTATATGCGGACAGTAGGCGACTTGAGTACGTACAGTGAGTTTTTTTTTATCTCTTCATCTAATGATTCAGAAACAAGTCCCTAGATCACCGAAGTAAAATACTCTTTTGCGAAGAAATTCAGTTAGATAACATCAATAACAGAGGACCTAACATTACGGTCCAAGATACCACACCTCATGTCACCATATAAAGGCAGTAGACATATACATGAAAGATAATGAAATAAGGTAGGAGGTAGGGGTGAAATAGTAGTGAAATCCGGTTTGACGATTAATGGATGATTCTGCACGATAGAAACTTCAAAACAGACTTTTATTACACGGTAAATTTAAAAAAGTAGAATCATCACAAAAAGGTGGATGTCAACAAGAGACAAGATAAATCAGTGAATATAATATCAAAAGTCGTAGGAAGTCATCAGACGAAATAAAACGAAGATACAGAGAATGACAATATGTGACATAATGTGGTTGAATTGAAGATAATGTGTTAAGAATCTGTTCTCCCACTACAGTCACAACCTATGTAAATCATTCTGACTTTTTGAGATAGCTGTGGTTTGGCAGACTTACAGTATTTATACTGGGTGATGATTGAAAATTTGGATTGCGACCGGATTCGAACTAGCGACCACCGGGTTTCTGGCCCGATGATCTACCAACTGAGCTGTAAGGTTCGACTGCTGATCAGATTTTTATTCCGCTTCAATCACCAAGAGTTTTGGTCGACTACCATGTGAATTCGTGACGCCTCACTACCGCTTGATTGTACTCACACTGGCTGTCCAGTCAGGACTTCTCATTCCAATCCAAGTCTAACTAAATTAGAGAGGAGCATCATATTGATTATCATTTTGACTATCTGAGATAGCCGTGGTTTAGCAAGTAAATAAACAAATAAATATTGCTGATCAAATCGAACTAACTCAAGTGTCGCATTTAAACCTGAATGTGTATCACTAGTGTACTTCAGAAAAACGACTATTATTTTAAAGTCAGGTGAATTAATTCGCCGTTCATTTGTATTTTAGGGCGTGAAATTCCAACCTTAATGCTTCTTCTGGTAATTAATGACATTCATCTTTTTGTAGCAGTTGACTAGTTTGTCTTACACAATATATCCTACTTGATCGAAACTATCGGTTTCATATAGTGACGATTCGGTTTATTATAACTTTTCTACCCATTAAATAGGAGCGCACAGTATGTCATTCACAGGGCTACTGCATATATTCTCAAGAGTATGCAAGTTACTTGTGTCTTCTATTGACTGAACACTATAAGTTAGTTATTCAACACACCATGATACAGTACAGAAAGTTTAAAAACCACAGTCTGTGATGTGATTAAGGTTTACGTCTGAGGAGATAGAACCACAATCTAATTACAAGGACTGTCAATATCCGGTATGTTGCCATGTAAGCGTGACTAACATTAAGATTTATTACTTCGTCCAAATAACGTGTGGAATGAATTTAACTAATCTTCTCATTTATTGTGATATTTTTAAAATATCTGTTTGGATGAAATAATGACCACACCACATAGAGCTATCATAGCAACATGTCGCATACAGGCATTTGATTACAAGTGTTCAGAATTCTACCAAGGTAAAGATAAGTATGTATCTATAGGGTTTGAAATAGGAACATACGCCCAGTATCGATTCTGACACCAGTCGGAACATCAGCACAGTATATATATATATATATATATATATATATATATATATATATATATATATATATACACTTCGTTGAGCTCTACTTTTTCCTTTGCTCGAAACAGTAACAATACGAACAAAATCTTTGCAAACATGTAAATATCCACATACTGATTCGTAACTTATTATGGAATATATTGAAAAAACGGATAACAGGATAGTTTTTCAGTACCAAAGGTTTCTTTCATCTAATCACTGACCTTGCTAGGCATTACTGACTAGAGTACGAACTTATTGTATAGATTCTTCGGTATTTTCGTTGAGTGTATATCTTGGTTATTTTGTTTGTAGGTAGCAAAAAAAAAAATGAGGGATGTCTTGTCCTATTCATCACTGTGGTGGTTGCATTATGATGTTACCGCGGTAACTCTCACAATCCTGCAGATAGTCCACTGCTTTGCCACAGCTACCTTTTTTGTGTGACAGACTTCACGATAAATGCTGACTGTCCGCTCTACAAGTATGTCCAGATGATGAATCCAAAAAGAAAGAAAAAACGACAATGCTATGCATGTACCACCAGATAACCAAATGTTTCACCTTACTGTTAAACCTCTTAACTATTTTTATTTAATACCATTTTTATTCACTTGTTAACCTCTGATATTGTACGTAATATCTTTGTTGCATTTTTCGTGATATCATCATCCTGAATGAAACTCTTTATTATACCATAGCAACAACGGATCAAGAGTTCAATATTATAAACAATGAGTCAAAAACAGCTGCTACCCATCACATATTATACGTATAACTAGGTAAGTTTAACAAAGTAGTAAGATAAATAATAAAGAAAGTTAGAAATCCTTGAGGGAAATATGCTTTTGTCGCTCAGTATAGTTTTTACTGAAGGTTTGATTGCCATGCAAAACAAATATCAGTTTTAAGGTAAATGAAACTTTAGACTGAATTTAAGTGATTCTATCTCCCAATAACCCTTTATCTATTCCTATTGGTTGTTTTCAAAATTGATCTCTGATTACTGCTGGTGAATATTTGGTATTAAAAGTGGGATTTCCCCCTGGAAACAAGCACCCTTTAACTTTTCTTGTACTTTGAATTGTCAGTTACTGTGTGAAGAACAAGTGGCCACCACTTAGTTTCTATTTCAGCCAACATGATAGTAACCACCCAAAGCATGTACCTACTGCTTCAGCATAACATGCAACCCACTGTCTCAGTCTATGCCGAATCACAGCTCCATTAGATGGTTTACCACTACCGTCTTAAAAATTTTACAGTCGATCTGCTACATCGACATAAGTCATCTTAAGGTGAGTCTAAATGGTTTAGTTTAATGCCTTAAACCAATAATCCTAGCAGAATTTATGGCACTATTAAGGTTCATAAACCAGGTTATCCCATTAGACCCATAGTTGACTTCAGAAATGCCCCAACATATGAACTAGCAAAGTGCTTAGCATCGGTATTATCTCCTATTAGGAACCGTTCAAGTTCTAGACTGACAAACTCCTACGGGTTAAAACTAAGACTTAATGACATACATATAGAAGAGGATGAAAAATGGTTAGCTTCGATGTAACAATCAATATGGCACTGGAGGCAATCAGAAATCAACTAAATACTGACTCAGAACTGGATCCGAGAACTAAGATATCGCTTGATGAGATCATATTAGGCATACAGTTATGCCTGACCTCCACAGTCTTCAAGTTTCAGCACAAAATATACAGACAAACAAAAGGAGTGGCAATGGGATCACCAATATCCCCAATTGTAGCAGACATGTTTATGGATAGTTGGGAAAACACAGCTTTACAAACGTTCTGTCCGGCACCAAAAACGTGGTGGCGACATGTGGATGACACATTTACTGTGTTGGAATCGGAACATGTCGACAATTTCCTCACACATATAAACTCAGTAGTAGGCTCAATCCAATTCACTTACGAGGTAGAAAGTGAACAAGGAGAATTACCTATGTTGGATTGCAGAATAAAATGAAGGACAGATGGTGGTTTGGATATTACCGTCTACATAAAACCAACACATTCTAACAGGTATCTAGACTCCAAGTCATCTGATCCAATGTCAGTGTTAAGGCAGGTTTGGTCATCAAATGTCTAAATGATAGGGCTAGAAATTCTTATGAATACATGAGACAGGAAATAACAGTAACATGAGTATGAATAATAACGACAGCACAAATAGAAAGGAGTTCACAGCCTCCATAGTGTTACTCTATAAAGAAGACACATCAGAAACTTTACATAGAATCCTCAACAAAGCTGGAATCAGTTATGGTGGCATTTAAACCTACACACTCACTCAGAGATAAGCTTTGTCGGCTGGCTTAAGGATCCGATAGAACCAAAATGATCTGACCTATCAAATTCCATGTGATGACTGTGAAGTCAAGTACATAGGTGAAACTAGCCTGTTGGGTGGGGTCAGTTCGAATAGCCGAACATATGAATTTAGCTAAATATAGAATGATAGACCTGAATAAGATCAATAATCTGGAGAAAAGAAAGCTCGGCTATTGAAATGCATGGGTGGGATAAAACCACTGTCGTTAAGTCTAATATATATTTAGGTGGAGAGGGAGATTGCTTACTGAATCTTTGTTCATCGAATCTACATCAAACACATGTAACAGAAATAACACAACACATATACCAAAGATATGGGAAATTTTACTACCAATAAAAACAAATTATATGAGGTGACAGGACTATAAAGACCAGATGCCACAAGTTCTATGATTGCTTTGACGAAACGTCATCAAGTAATTAATACTGTATCACTGGGTGTTATAAATTGAATAAACAAATGTAATATGGAAAGCAGCTAAATGATCCCTAGAATATTTGACGAAAGGTAGTTTCGACATACCGATAAATACGTTATCCCTAGTTTTCCCAAAAACAATTAACTACCCTAGGATAGTCGATTTGAACCACTTCACCCCTATCAATTTCTACTGTCTGGTCAATCACAACCGAGAAGCCCACAATTCTTAAAATGAATAGAACCAGTGCATATAACAGATTTGTTCAGCTGAAAGTAACAGATTTCTAACCGACTAAACTTGATCACGTTTACTACCTTTCCAACTCACGCAGTCTTCTCACTGGCCTCAGTACTACTCACTTGACAATCTGACCACAGATGAAAAATACTTCTGAAAAACAATAGTAACTAAAAGAACCTTTAAATTCATGTGGTTGACGCTCATCGATCAATCACACAACAGTACATGAAATATCCTTTAGACTAGAGAATAGTGATCAAGAACATACAGTTGAATAGGATTTCTCAACAATGTCATACACATTTTTATTGATATGCTTGTAATTCCCCGTTATAATACTGGACCGAATAGTTCGACCTCTACTGAAGTGCAGGCACATACAGCTGACATGTCCCAAAAGGGATGGAACACGCGTCCTGGATTCCTCTGTTAGCCACAACCAAGCAAACTACAATACTATAGACAGTTTATTTAACAAATGAAATCAGAAAATAACAAAACAACTTGTGTTTTTTTATACAAAAAGTAACTTCAACAATTTTTCCTAAGAACGTAGAAATGGTTTATTTCTAGCAATATGCCTGTCTAACTGTTCCCATATTTGTTGAAAATTAGCCTTGTCTAGATGACGTCGTTGATCCAAATCAATGACACGTACATTCCATTTAGCAACATTTGGATCCAACGGCATATTGGTGTATTTTAAATGAAAACCTTTAACTACAGAAAATGAAAAAAAAAAATTAACAAATATCACCTTTAACATGCATAGAATCTGATATATATAGCAAAAACTGTTATCTATAATTTCAATAGTTAACATATTGTACTAAAAAAAACGTCGATCAGTAGATTTTAATTAGTTAACTACGAAACAGATAGGCAGAAAAATAAACGTAAGACGTCGGTTAAAAGTGAATCGGTTTAAGTAGTATGTAAAGAAGTGGATAGAAAAATTGATATTAAGGTAGGCAAATGTGTATGGCTGAGGACAGAAGTAAAAGAAGTTCTAAGAAAACATTCAAGATTTTTAAGATAATAAAGAGAGCATAGATCTGCACTATTGTGAGCATCCTTCAGTCATGTCACCAAGTCTCTTCACCCAGTGATTATCATCTTGAGAATCCTAGTCATACTGTCTACTCCTACATACATAGCTGTGATAGAAAATCAAAGAATTTGTGAAGTACTATCATATCTTAGTATAGCCAACCTTAACTTTCTTTCAACCCAATTGTATTTTGGTTCATATTACACGTTGGAGTAGGCGGTATCTTGAAATGAATAACGCATGTGCAAACCACCTCAGTTGTTGAGGATTCACAACCGCATCGATCGACTTATCTTCCTCCTCCGATACCTTTCAACTAACCTCGGCACTGCTCTCATACAGTGATTTTATCATACTTCACCAATGTTGAGAAGACATATGTGGTGAGAAAACCTGTAGCCTCTTTACATTTATTTGCAGGGGCTGTCTCACAAATGCATAATAGGAAAGAGCAAGCAGCGACGCAGAATACTCGTCTTTTGATAGGCAGTCGGATATTTCGCCAGTGGGCCTTCTGTATCCCATCTGAGATTTCGTCAGCAGACAGCCCGTTCGGGCTGATGCAGGAGCATAGATTACAGAAAATGCTAGTGTGTCACTATCTTTTTAGTCCTTACTGTACTATTCAATTGAGTATACAAAGGACTGTCACTTGAGATCCCGTTGAAAAGGATGCTTCCGCCCTACGAATTAAGGTTCTATCAACACTTACGAAACACTGGGGAACCGAATATCTAGTCTTTAAATAATCAAAGGAATAATTGTGAAGACCCGCTTACATAGGCTATATTAAGTCAACTGGATCATGTATGTATGTATGTATTAGAAACAGCAAAATTGCAAAGCTTAAGATTCCAATGTTCTGGCTAGGGAAACTATTTATCTGACTTAGGATGGGACGGAAACACTAAAAAGCCGTAATATGCAGTTTAGAATATGGTTTGAAAAAACTGGAGCTGAGAAAGTAAGTGGTGAGGAGTGAGAAAATAGTGAACATAGAGCACAGTTACTAGCAAGAAAAAACGAAGAAAATGTAGAAGATATTGGGGATGAATTTTAGCAGTGTTCAGAAAAGATTCAGGTACTACTAGACGCGTTTGGTTGATACTTCTCGGCTACATATACCGTGGAAGGTTACTTTTTCTTGAGATAACTGAAAAAGGAACCGATCTATTATTTGTATGAACGTTATTACAAACCTCAAGGAGGATTCCGTTTTAGTCTATTTATTAGAAATGTCACACAGTGAAACAGCATCACTTACTGAATAACGTTTCGGACACAATTTATTGTCCATATTCATATCAGGTAACTCCACAACTTCCAGACAGACTTTATATAGTTCTTATTTTTCTCTCCTTCTTTGTGATGACTAGGGGTAATAGAATTTTCCATATATCTGGAACAGATGACATTTTTGATAAATAGGCTAAAATGGAATTACAACCTACCACAGTGCCAAAGTTTTACTCCTATCGCAAGGACGACTGTTTGATAGAGGTAACACAGCCTTTTTGGAAGTATTTAACTATGCAGTGTTTGCTCCTTATTCCAAAAGGTTTACTACCAGCACTTTAAAACTTGATCAAAAAACTCATTGATATTTTTAGGACCAGCATGTTCTCTGAAGACATCGGTTATACTTAGGAAATGCGTGACTGCTGTTGCATCTTTTTACAGTTGGAAGGATGACTGACCAACAGACCTGAAATTAGCTGCTTTTCGTTACCCCGTTCTCCAACCGAACTTTCTGGCATAGTAGGACCTCAAGCAACAGATATCCCAGCCAATTTGGCTAGAATGGGTTATTACGACAGGCAAGCCCGACCACCAACTACAAGGTAGCAGCCACAGTCGGAGTAGGAATATGCATAAAATCCAGTAAAAAAAGTACCCGATGGTATTATATTTCAGAGATATTTGAAGGTATGGAAAATATCGTGATTAGAAAGTTATGTGAATAGGGTCATTGGTGATAATTTAGCTGACAATGGTACTTTGCTTACTCTGTGAAAAAATTACTGCAGGATCAGAGCTAATAGGCCATCCTTTAAATTGCCACGACTGACCCTGCACAAAAACAGCCACAACACGATTCCATTCATCCAGCAGTAACTTATTCGGTTGATCCACCACACGATAGGGGACAGTTCGACCATCCGATTTCTGACGATGAATCAGAATTTCGTTTTCCCGACGCATACCTGAAGCTTCCTTTTCCTGAGATTTAACAAAACGCAAATCCTAAAAGGAAAAAGGCTGTACAGTGGAATCAATTGTCTGTGAACTATTCATCACAAAAATCACCAGCTATTAATACTAACTGTACACTGAAAGAATATGTTACTAAAAAAGCTCAAATATGCACAATGATACTTACAGAGCTCATTTTCTGGACTACTTTAAGGACAACTCAAACTAAGATGTGACTCGGGTCGTAACAACTGGCCAGGATTTTTACCTGGTACGAGTAATCTATCTAGGTAAACACAATTTTGGTGCTACAATAGCCCATAGGACCAATACTTTTCAAAGCGGAACACGACTTTGAATCGACAGTCGGATATCACGGTGGCACCACAGATGGTGTAAGTTGGCGAAAGCCAGTTGAACTTTTTGTATCCGTGTGGAGGTTTCTTCGGTCAAGGACTCATCAGGGTTGACCCGACTTCCAAAGTGAAGTGATCAAAGCGCACAATTATGGAATTCAGAGACAGTCCCGTCAGGTTTGCTTACATTGTAGTTTATACGAAAGGAAAGATGTTTGACTATGACGACAAAAACAGGGGAATCAATTCGAATATGTTGTGTACAATCCTGGGATCAAAAGTTATCCAACACCTAAACAAAACTCAAGAGAATCAGAAAGGTTTCAGACTTGGACAGAGATGCATCAATCAGATCTTTACTCTTTGACAAGTTGCAGAGTAAAAGCACACTTAGAAGTGCCCCACATTTGTCAAATTTCCCAACCCAAAGCCGACATTCGACTCTATCAACTGAGAAATGTTGTGTCAGTGTCTGACTGTTAAGGGAATATCAAACAAGTATGTGATTCTAAACAAAGTTCTCTACGATAACTCCGGCAGCTGTGTACGGGTTTATAGGGAGTTGTCTTCTGACGTAATGAAATTCAGTGCTATGTGCCAATGATGCATATTATTAACGTTCCTATTTAGCTATTTTATCGATGTGTTGATAGATGTAACCCTGAACATCTCCACTTTAGCAAGAATTGACTTATCCCCAGGAGGGTAACCTGGTTGACTTGGTCCATGAAGGTGGTGTGTCTGTTGTGCCAGGCTCTACGTTGATTCATGTCTACCTCTCAAGACACATGATGCAAAATCATATTTCCTGCTAACATACAATACTTACTGAGAGACAAGTAGTTACAAACATTGATTAGTCATTGGAGGTAAACCGACTTTACGTTGTCCATTCCTGAGTGCTGATAGAATTCGATCGATCATTTTTCAATATGGCCACCAAGTTGAGAGATTCGCCATTGAGATGCACTGTGATGGATGGAAGCAATCGGTAGGAAGCCCTGGCACTAGACAGAAAGGCGTATCTGGTTATCCTGATTGGTAAACCCATGTGATAATTAGGTTCACAGAAACATGCTAGGTTCCAGCATCAGCAAGAATACTAATATCGCTATACTTTAATAACAAGCAGCTTATAATAAATACTCCAGACTTCAACTTAAGTAGCATTGCTTTACAGCATTTAAAAAATGTAAGAGACCTCCAGAAGATCTTATGTGTATGACAAGACGTGGATATGAAGGATCTTTACTTGCTCGATGCTGAATAGTCCTTAGGCATTCACGTTGGAAACTGTTATCTTAAATAAAGAAGTTTATATAGCAAACTATAAGACCAACCACATGTTGAAAACTAAAAACAGGTCATTATCAAAAGTCAGAGATTTTCTCAAAATATTTTGATGTACTTATAAATAGATTGACCACTAATAAAGTGTACATCGACCTCCGTTCTCACTCGAATAATTTAACTTAAACTTGATCCAATTGTCAGAAATAACAACAACAAACTAAATCCTTACATATCAAGCAAAAAATTGTTGCAATTGTGTAATCAATTAATAAAGATGCACTCACTTGCAAAATATCCCTTGCATTATACATTGTAATTAGACTAGTTGGTGCCGCGGGAATAATTATAATTGGAATACGAGATGATCTAATCTTTGTCCGAGCAGAAAGACGTGCATCCGCAGTAGAGCGCAAGCCACGATCTGTAAGCCGAAATATATTTTGTAATGTTGTTAACATAATGTATACATGAAGAAATTTTGACAATATTGGTGTCAGGGCCAAGTTTTACAATTTATTAACAGGTTATTTGGAAGTAGTCTAACAAGTATACGCTAAGTTTTGTTGTAAATAAAAATTTACAAGCTAAAATCTTTCCCCATCCTGCCTATACATAGTCACGTTGCTACAGCTCACAGCCTAAAGAAAGTCATCCCGAAAACTGTGTAACTAATGAAAGACAATCAAACAACATGGTAGTTGTATAATCTTGGTGAAACGAAGCCATTCCCACTAACCTAAAAAAAACACCGGACCAGCATGATGATTCACTGTAAGAGAATGACTTTATATAGAGTGCATATTTTGAAAAGGTGAGAGATTCGCCCGGAAATGAAGGGATACTACGGTTAAATACTCTTCTCTTCAACTAATGTCTCTGTGATTTTGATTACACTTACTTTTATTTCTTTATCTTTCATGTTAGCGATGGCTGATCCCTAAAAATACTAACTTATAATATGTATATGTTTTCACTATCAAGTTTAAATCACATTTTTGTGTCTTTTTCACTTCACACAATGTTACTTGTTTTTACTGAGGTCTAAGATACTAGACGCTAATGGGTTCATTTTACACTTTAAATATCCTATTTTGTTGTCCCTGGTCAAAGCTCTTAAAAAGGCATATAAACCACTGCACTTTCAGCTATAATAGCACCATTCGGTTGAAGTAAATATACTTTCGGTTAGCACATAGGAATAGACAACATGAAATTGGTTACTTTCCAGTGATCAATCATTGTATACAACCCTTTCTTGCAGGAGGTTAATCACGGTTCGGATAGCTTAGTGGTGACGTCACTGACCACAGTACTGGGTGACACGGGTTCGAATCTCAGGCGAAACATCAGTTGCGTCGAGGTCGCAGATACGCCTAGCTGGTGAGTGCCAACAAGCGCGAAATATAGGTCCAAGGCTTCCTGCCTCCAACCAATTAAAAATCTCACTTTGCTCTTCTTCTTGTGTCAGCTAAATATTGTGTTGAGTACTCGTTGTTCTATCGTTAACCGCACTGCGTCGGAGCATTATATCTTTCATATATATCAGATTAAAACATTTCACTTCGATGACTTGACCTGTCACATCTCATTCTTCATTGTCCATTGTTTGTGCATACGCACTGATACATTATGCTTCTACAATGCAAAACATAACTGGTGATCATATGTCAATTGTTTTTTGATAAACTCTTCAACTTTGCCAGACATTCGAATTCAGGTTTTTTTGTGCTTGTTCACCTAGCAAAATGCGTGTTCATACTTTATGTGTAATTGTTTTGCATTATCAATAACAAAATACGGAACGGATTTCACTGCATCACTTCACTCATCTCATAAATGTTTGCATGCCAATAACCTTTATAGGTTATGCTGTAGTATTAACCAACTGCCAGCAGCAACCTCTTCAATTAATAAGCCTTACAAATGGAGTTACGAATAGCGAACCAAGACTTTTTTGAACAAAAATCGGCCTATGCCAATTTGCTATACATACAGGAGTTATCTAGTTCGACACATTTTGAAAACTAATACCATCAACTGAATAATCCCTTGGAGTAAACAAAAGTATGAATTGTAACAGCCTGATTCCTAACTCATTCTTCCAATAGCCGTAAGACTCTACCGTTATCTTTATAAACATAGCATAATCTGCCAACATTAGTGCATACGTATTTCAATTGTGAATCCTTATCACTGTGTGATACTTTATTTAGGAAAACATGAGTCTCCATTTGACTTCTCAAATGACCTCTAGAGATATAAGGATGATTCCAAGCGATATAAACAGGTAAGTCGATCAGTGGAAAATAGTGGCGACTATATATATATATATATATATATATATATATATATATACTTACATGGATCTGGGGTGGCAGTAGGTGTCAAAGGAATTCCTGAGCTAATAGCCCGAGGGTCTCTGAGAGGTTGGGGTTCATAAGGAATACTTGGAGTTTCATTTCCTATTGACCTCGATGCAGTCCCAGGTGTACGAACAGGAGTTGCACCAGCAGCAGAATTATCCTGGGAAGATCTAGCTGCACCAACAGTAACCATGGACGCCAAAGCCTTCCCATGATATGTACCCATGGTATCAATACGGAAGCCTGCAGTTTCCTCACGGCCACCTGCAAAACGTTCTTGGTCATACCTTGAATAATGCATCTGCGAATGATGTGGTGCAGTGGAGTTAGAAACTGACATAGGTTGTCCTGTACTGAGCACCATGGCTGACCCGGTATTTGTACAATTTGTAGCGCCATTAGGTTTCGAGTAGTAAGTTCCAACAGCTAGTGGTTGAGGGAAAAGTGTTGACTGATTGTTGGCAGCCATGTAACCGAACTTGCCAACAGCCTTCGCATCTGGGGCAGCATGTGAGTCTTCTTTTAACTACAGAAAGCATTAAAAATAAAAACTACGGTGTAACTCGTTGAGTTGTACAGCTAACATGTTACTGAGACTTCTTTATTACAAACAATACCAACTTCTATTGCTTGCACCAAAATATGAAGGGAGCCTCATAATAACTACTCACTAATTTTCCGTCAACGTAGCTATTTTCAAAAGACCATAACATATAACATAAGAGGGAACATTGGGAACCCAGTATGGGGATGGCAATTGTTTGGTGCTGTGTGCAGTTTTTATGAATTCAGTGCTGATGATATCATCGTCTGGCGACCGATTTCATATCACCTAGACCAGTATTAGTAAAAGATGGCAAACTATGCCAAAATCTAAGTATATGGTTGTAGTTAAGTAAGTAACTACGCTCAGTATACTCATAAATTTTATCTCTTTTCACCAAGAGGTAACGGTTAATTTAACTGAAATGAGTATCAGTACTAAGAATGCATTCATAATAAATTAGGAATGGATCAAATGCAACTCTTTCAAAAATAATAATAATAACTCACGATCACATTTCTCAAAATTCCTAAAACAATGTTTTCATAGAACGTTTTACCCTGACTTTGTAAAACTGAAACACGGGTTCGCCAACGACGCTCACGGGCCAAAATCGCACGTACTGGTGCTTCATCAGCCATAAGTGAAGCTCTGAGTAGAGAGCTACCGGAATATAATTGACCATGAGTACTATCATCAATCCGGATAATAGACTGAGATTCGCCGCCAGGTATAATGCTATGAAGACCAACACGAGAGTCTCGAGCATCCAAAGACAAGGCTGACAGTCCAGAATCTCCTTCCTGACCAGGATAATTACCTCCAGGAATTTCCAACGCTTGATCTACATCACCCGTCTTGATTCGCTGTTGCTGTATGGCACGGAACTTAGCTCGCCATGTCTAAAATATCACAATAAACATATTTACAAGGCAATCATAAAAATATGTAATGACTAAACATAACTAAAAATATGCTTTACCTGAATTTTGTCTAGTGGAACAGCTTCAGGTAATGTGCTTGTTTTAGTTTGATCAGATTGGATAAAACTGGAGGAACGGTTTCCAAATGAGTTTTCCAATTTAGCAGCCAAATCACGCTTTTCGCGTGCAATCGCCTCTTCATCAAGTACCATAGATTTCAATCGGGCTTGAGATTCACGACTTAGAAAACTGTCATCCAGACTTTCCACACCACTCGTAAGTCTCATTCGTTTTGTGTCAATATCAACATTGAAGCCATCTGTGCCCAGTATATCAGTTGCATCTACAGTTTAAAAATCAGAAACATTCAAGCGGGAATTGAATTTCACTCCAAGGAATAAACAGATGAATCGACCAACCAAAAAGCACCAATTATACGGTCAAACACCGGGTAAAACGAAAGCGACTTTTTGTTTCAGAAATGTACAGAATTCCTGCAGTGTTTTTTGAAAACAAAACTATAAGATTAATTTTCTAAAGGCCATTAAGAATGGCATTGATGACTCTCCATCACCACGTCAAACAGTTTACTATTTACAGTTTCTCAGGTTTTAACTTCAACAAGAGAAAATGAAGCATCTTTGGAAACATTACACACAGCCATCAACAAAAGAATCTAGGCAGAATGTAACAAAATGAAAAAATACTCAACTTTAGAATGATACCATATGCAGATCATAGAAAGAGAGCATAAGGTTCCATCAGAGAAATAACTTCAGGAACAAATGAATTTTTTGGCCAACCCTAGCCTTACTATCAAGGTTTTTATTCCCTGTAACCATGCTTACTAATAGATAATGGTTTCATGAATAGGTAACATATTCGAGCCCTATTTCATCAACTTTGCGTTGGATAGCCGGTTGATATCACTTACCACTACAACAGTGCACGAAGTTCAGTTTAAATGAAAAGTGTAGATTACAATTTATATTCACTTTTAGCTAATAATTCTGCTGTACTATTTTAATCTCCAAATATACAAGTGAGAAAGCAAGCACGCTGTTGTTATAGTGATCTTCATGTTGGATACTCGACCAGTCACCGGTTACAATGTATTCGTTCACCTACGGAAATGTTACATAATCGCAGTGGCAACATTTGCCATATTTTACATGCAACCAAAGAATAAAATCCACAACAGCAGTCGGATATAAGTTAAAAATTAGGATAAGGTAATATTCTTTCTAAACAACTTGGTACATGGACACCAAGAGATGTTCAGTACAAAATAATAAAGCGACACTAAGACAAAAGCTTGATATAAAAAGCGGAAAAAGATGGGGAAGGTAAAAACAAAAATGAGTTAAAAGGAAGTAGTCTCAGGAATACATTCGCTACTCTCACTTCAATTTCGATAACAGAAAAAACAAAGGGATTGCAGTATAATCACCACTCGTTTCAATCCTGAACCATGCTTGTTATCGTCTTCAAGGAACTGAATTCTACATTCCTTCGGACCCATGAAGGGAATCGCAAGATGCCGACAGATGCTAACTGAAAACAACTACCCTTTATCCCACAATGCCACGTCATACACTGGTTACCTCTACACCTCTTCCAACCAGTCACAGTGCAGGTGAACAGCGAGCAGTGTGCGGTCTGCTAACATGACATGTGTCCAAGTCACAGCATTTGGTGTTCCTAGATAACCTCATCCAATGAATGATGATCCCATACACAGTCAAACACAGTTCACCTCACCTTAGAATTACATGCAAGGTGTTTCCTTTGGCTGCAAGCGATCGTGAAGAGACAGCGGTGGTCGAGAACGCAAAGTCGTTGGATATCCTAAGCTCGGACAGGTAATATTTTCAGGTATGGAGCAAAACTGCCAGCACCGGCACGTCGCATGCCCATTCTTTTATAGCAAAGTTTATATCAAGATGGAGCCAGAGGTGGCCTAGATCCGTGTATGCCAATCCGACTTTCATTTTATAGTTGGAAATCTCTTCAATCATGCCAACAAGACATTCTGGATACGTGAACTTTTGGATGAATCCTAGCGATTCACCGCAAGGGTGTGGTGGTATAGGCTCCTGTCAATATTGTAGAAGCACTTTGTACTTCGATGATATGAAACACATATCATACTTACGAATGTTGATCACAAACTGATCGAGCATAGTTTGAGTAGCCTGCGTAACCACAACATTGGTTTGTAACAATGAAGAGGGGTGGCTGTATGCCCTCACTCTACGAACTTTTCGGAGATACTCATCTCTAAAAGACAAGTGCAGCACACAGCCCTGTCCAACGTATCGCAGAGGACCCTAAAGCCGAATACAAAAGCTGTTGACCGGCAATACGTGACAGTATTTGAGCACCTGGTGGTGGGTGAACACATTATCAATGCACTCACAAACTGAAAGAAACCCAACCTTCTCGTGGATCAGTTTTTTCCACGTTTTGAGGGGCCCACATGATATCAGCCACCAGTTTACAAGCTACCAACAGCAGACCGATACCCCGATGACTATCACACATTACGTAGAGACTTTTTAAAATGGATGCAAAGGGGGCTTCATTCCAGAGTGATGGGACAATCAGATAATGTAGGCAGTTGCCTGACTGCAGTCTTACCTCGATCTTTAAAAGAAGCCAGATGCAAGTTTTGCGTCGGGTGCCTCATGGCGCTGTAGAAATTAGAGTTCCTTACGGACTTCAACTTCGCTAGATGTGTCGGCGTTAACTGCCTATGGGACAAAAAACACTGAATTCAATGTTGCTGGGACAGTAGGCCAGCCAAACTGGATTTTAAAGTGCTCAGCTGAGGATTCTAGATGTTTAAGAAAGTTGGCGTACTGTCTGTTTCACAGACTGACTCAATGAAACCAGAATTCTCATCAGCAGTGGATATTAGCCGGAGCAAGTATCAGCTATAAACCAATCCAAACATTGTCTCTGTTTCGCTTGCACGTTCTGATAAGTAGGCGTTGCAGTCCTTATGTAAGTGGTGTGATTTTCGGTATAAGGGACTCAGGTACGCCAATGTACTCACAATGCACCAAACCAACAAGAAGTTACGAGGAATCCTCAGAGACCACGTGCTGAGTAGCAGGATATTCTTTGAAGTAGTTGCTACTTTAATGTGTTGGTATATCTTGCATATCACAATGACCTAACGAGCCATGCTCGTGAAACACTTGTTCCCTCGAGGTCCTACCATACCATAAAGGTTTGTTGGATAGTGGCAAAACGGAAAGCAGTTACCGTCGTAGTGTGAAATACTACGCTATGACAGGAGTTCGACGGCAAGGTCGTACTGCTGGCTGTCAACCAGTGGGTCACGGGTTCGAACCTAGCTACATCTACCGAGGTTTGGGCTGCCAGGTAGTATCATTAGCCCTCACACAATAGATGCGGCTTATTGCCTACTGCACATATGTACACGAGGTGGCTAAGTAATTCCTCCCTGACTGCTGATTGGACAGGAGTGTGACAGCAGTAAGGTGCTTCCCGCGGCTGCGTAGTAGTACCATGCTAATACTGTCTTCTGTATGGGAAGAGCAGGTTAGAAAATGTTGACTCCGAAAATAGCACACTCCCCACATCCTGCAGTCTTCCGGTGCTGGCGGTATGCGTTTATGGTTGAATTCGAAACAAACGAACTAAAATCTCTGACAAAAACGTCGTATGTGACCGACCTCAAGCGGATGTCTCTTAGGCTTTGCGGTACCTCGAGATAAAATAACCTTCCCAGTGTGTGCGGCCAGGAAGTGTCAACACTCAAGACCCCTTCATAACATTATAAAACTTTCAAATCCTTACCTTGTAATCTTTCTTTAAGTTTGTCTTTCGGTGAACACTACTGCATCACTGGCGGATGTTAGTTGGTTGGAGACAATTGGCAGAGAGCCCTGGAACTAGGTTTCGATAGAATTCGGTGTGCACTTAAAACTAGGCAAGATGAAATTAGCTGTTTTCCTGTAATCAATCAATGTATAACTACATCATCTTTAATTCCCTCCAACTGTGCAGCTCTTGATGACGATTCGAGTTCAGGAAATAAAATTTCTGGTCTCCTAAAACAGCACCCTCGAACCACACGTTGGAGCTTTCAAACTTCACACCCTGCGTCTAATTGGTCAACAAGCTTCGCTAGCCAAAACTCTGACATCTCGCGGCTATGGATGTGCTGTCTCTGCTGTACAGGCATACAATACCCGAGTGCGGCTATTCACTTAACCTCGCCTGATCAATATAGTGAATTTGGAAGACTTACTCTTCGAGTTTCTGGAGAGTCAATGGCTAGTTCTCAGTCGGTGTATTTATGGCTTTGAGTCCTACGGCAGAAAGTGGACTGCTGAACTGGATTCTAGTTGACAGTCGCTTCGAGCCGACTGACTGCAGTTCGGATGAAGCGAAGAATGAGTTCCACCAAAATCTTTCAGATGTGGTTGTTTTAGTAGGTGATATCAATGTACAAGTATGCAGACTAAGTTAGACACAAGAGTAATCAAGTGAAATTTTCGGAATCCGGATGCGCAGATAACGGTGATCACTTGCTACAACTATGCTTAAACAATCACCTATTTCTGATCGGCACGATCTTCAGATATGAAGGCAGTGTTATGTGCCATCCACCTGAACCTAACGGCGAACATGGATGGGACATTTCGTTATTACTTATCGCTGCAATGTGGTCAATGGAGGATCGCTGCTCTTTTCTAAGCACGTGTTCGGACAGAGATCACGTTGTATGGGCTTAAGTGAATGTGAAAAAGCTACGACAACAAGACCATTGTTTGCAACTCAAAGATGAGAATTCTAAAGGTTGCTTTCGATCAAAAACTAGTAGACAGATATTGGGACAGAACAAAATCACTCACCCAGAAGTCTGGTTTCAACTCTAATCTGCTACAAAAACAGCGTTAAAGACTGTAACCGACTTTCATAAAATGGTTAGACGTCAACTGATCTCAGAAGCTTCTGAATTAGTGGACGCACGTGAACGCAATACTTCCCGGTCAAATTAACTGAAATGTTAGCTAGCGTATAGGAGTCGTACGTTCCGCTGTGACTGGTCTCAATCACCAATTGTCCCGTTTTTCAAAAAAGGCGAGAAATTCTACTGTAATAACCACACACAAATCAGCCTGACGAACATTGCATCCGGGATCCTAGGTTCTATAACCACCAGACGTCAACGTGGAGCTCAGGAGCAGCAAACCTGAGATTACCAGGTAGATTTCAAACTTGACCGCCAGTATAGCGACCACATTTCAGAACATATGCACGGTCACTGACGCTCGATGCTAGCTGTTTCTCAAAACGAATTACTACTTCTTAAAGAAACCTACTCAAACAACTTTAAAGATAGGAAGATATGACGTACTGGATGAATAACTGGTTCGACCATAGACAATGCTGTTCTAAGTTGAGCCTAACTTGTAAGACAATGAGGTTTTCAACAATAGCTTGGAGGCAATTTAACACAGAACGAATGACTATTTTAACCATCAAGTCTTTCCGCCGCACAACTCTGGGTACATGGGCATAACATGGTTTTACTTTAGTTGCATCATGCATATCAGCAGCTGATAGTTGTTTAACTGCCAAAAACCAAACTACAGAGGACACCTTTGTTTCAGAGTTACTTGAGCACTTAATAGTTTTCTGTTCTTTTGTTAGACATTTTCAAACAGTATCTAAAACTTCCATGAACATGGTGGAACTAACGTTTTATCAAGAATAACGAAGACCATATATATATATATATATATATATATATATATATATATATATATATATATATATATATATATATATATATATATATATATATATATATATATATATAACTTACCTCTTCGAATGTGTGAATGTGTATCAGTCTGTTTAGAAACGGCTCGTCGTAGAGAAATATCGACTGGTGCAGCTCTATCAATATTTGGCGCAGTAGTTGTTTCACCCTTTAAGTAGGCCAGAAGATCACGTCGATCCGGGAGTCGTACGACTGGAAGACCAGCACTCTAAATGTTTATTACCACCTCCCAAATGTGAGGTTGGCCACTTACAGCAGCTTGCCGCACATACTGTGTGTGAGGTAGGTCAATATGCCTTAGTAGATACACGACACAATCAAGAGTATAGTAGTCCTTTGGAGTACCTTCCTTTCCAGACCTGCAACCATTAACTTATTAAGCGAAGGGCTTGCAATTACCCCCATACCAAGAAATTAGTCTTAGTGGTTTTTGGCCAGGCAAAGTCTCCAAATATTACCTCCGTTTGGGTCTCAACAATTGGTCGACTATTGAGATGGTACTCTCGCAATAGCGACAGTACATCTGCCATCATGCAAACTGTAGCGTACTATCCAAAAGCCACAACATATAATTCAAATTGTTCAAGGGGTTGTTCACAGAATAGAAGCTTTCAATTAACTGGCTTTTGCGTCCAGAATCCGTGGATCACTACTTCTTGTGGTTATTAACCTGTGTACGAGTAAAGCTCAAGCGAAACTGGCTGTAAAAATATGAAAATTCACTTAACTCTAAGCAGGTCTCACCGACATCTCAAACGAGTGGCAAACCGGCGTTGTGTTTAAAGGAATTTGACGAAGTAGACCAGATCACACATGCAGAGACAACATTTCAGGGTCTATCATCACTAAGGGAATATAAGTTGTTCCTGATAGCTAACCTGCTCTCTTCCTGGCCTAGTTGCAATGCGTCCTCCAGGATTGGTGCCAGAACTAATATTAATTAAGTGATGTGATAGGTGTCTAGGAGTGTTCAGCATGTTGTGGGCCGTTATCAAGTCCCCTTTTAGCCTTCTGCATTTCATGGGATACAGGTCCAGCGCAACCAGTCCTTCTTCATTTATTTCGGACCTAAATCCTTGAACAGATTTGTTCGACAGCCTCTGGATACTTTCTAAGCCTAATTTGTCTTTGCGCACAGTAGTCTCGATAGAATGAAACGCCGAGAGTCCTCTCCGTCAGCGAAGCTTCAAGTCCTATATCGTTGAGGTTATATACATGTTTTTCGTGTAACACCTAGGATTTTTCAGAATTAAATGCCAGCCCATTATTTACTCACTCGAACTCTAAATTAGTGACCTCATAGATTTGAGGGTAACCAGTCAGTGAGCGGTGGTCTTATTCCTGGCAATTTTAATTTATCAACGGGAAATTCGTGATTACCATGATAAGATGCTTCAGAAAGGTCCAGATAAATTCTATCGGTTCGACCTCGACGGTCAACGGTACTGGTCCACCCACCTACTGTGATTGGCAGGTTGGTAATGCAGGAGTGCTCTTTCCTAAATCCATGTTTTTAGGCGTAAAGAAGTCAATCGTTGCAAGGTGATCTCTCACTCTGTTACAGAGTGATGATTTCACTGCCTTCCAAGGTATGAATGAGATCGTCATCCATCTGCTTTTCTTCGGGTCGCTTCGTCAACCTCCCTTGAAGTTTGGCGTTAGATAGCTTAACTTCTAAATATTTCGCACTTCCTGTTGACCAAGAGAATCCTTGAATAACTCACTCGAAGAGTGAGTGAAGATTGATGCTTCTTTCCGCAGTACTGCTGCACGAATTTTTTCTGATCCCCGATAGGTGTCTTCTGCAAACAGTGGCAGCTTGAGCTGTATTATATCAACGTCTGGGTCAACAGCCGAGAGCCCTACTTATCTAGTGTGATGTTCACAAACTCCTAAGTAGGTGTAAATCCAGATCAGCCAGGAGTTCAGCTGCTTCCATGCCGCTACCAGTTAGTTCATCTGGCCCAAGTAGTTAAGAGAGTCTCACCTTGGTTTACCTGAATGATGCACCATACCGAAACAGACTTCTCGGGTCAGAAAAAACTCATTTGTAAGCCTAATTTGATGCCGTTGCCGACTGGCTCTCGATGATTTCGTGCATGTTTCTCGTTTGCTTGAATAATCCGCAAGCTTATTTGCCACCACCTTGTTGTGTTTGACCAAGAGTTGTCTTCTTAACCTAAGTAGCTTTAGAGTGCAGTTGCCTGTTACCTTAGGCAACTTGGAGCACTTCTGTGTTAGAGGTGAAGCAGAGTGACTGATGATATGTATGATTTTGTCAAGCATGAGTCTCCAATTGATGTTCACATCCTGCCATACATGGTCAACTTCCCAATCCTTCCATTCCAGGGCCAAAGAGTTCCGTCGTCTGGAGTTCTGATGGTACTCACTGGAAGGCTTGATTAGTTTGGTTTCACAGACATACTGGAAGCCGATAGTGACATGATCACTGCCGCCTAAAGGAGGAAGGACTGTTAGTTTGTCAATGAAGTTGTTGTCTGTGAAGATTTAGTCTCAGCTAAATAGGGTTTGAGTTTCTCCTCATCGCATTACTGATTACACAGTGTCTGTAGGCTCCGGTTCGTCAATCAGATCAAATAATCTAGGTACATTGCAGTCGTCATCATCGATAAACCTGCGATCTGCAAAGCTAACCTTCGTGGGCCCATAGTATCACATGACTAGTGTGTATCCCCCAGTTCAAAAGAGCAACCGACTGTCTCTAGCGTTTGATCACCATACAGCTTCCTATGAACAACCCTTACCGAGCACTTAGTAGCCTTGGACAGCTTTACAGAGCAATAGCTGGACGCTACAAGATACTCCAATTCTTGACTAGGAATCTGGTGAGCTGCAAGAGTAGAGCTAATGTAAAGTGCTACCCCACATCACTTACTGACCTTTCTGCCGTTGTGGAATAGTGAGGCTCTGGCAACTGGCAGCCCCTGATCTGATATTTCCGGAGAAATCCATATCTCAGTAACGTCCATGAGAGGAGAATAAGAGTCCTTACCTAGTTCTCACAGCCCATTGCGCTTGTTCGGCAAACTTTGCGCTTTGTAAAAAGGGGAAATTTCTACTGAATAACCTGAACACACTCCCTGAGTCCTCTCCATCATCCAGCTAGGCTGCTAAACCTTCAGATGTGGGGCCTCGAAGCCTACTCAAGTGCACCCGACCAATATGGCGCTCCTCTCCGCTGCTTTTACTTCTATGGAGTCTGCCAGAGGCAAAGCCGGCACCCGTCTTTTCTGCTTTCGCCGTGGCTTTTCGTCCTGCAACCCATCAGGCTGCGTGGGGACCTGGGGTTGTAAGCCATTTTTTGCCCTGAACACTCCCAGTGTGGGCGTTGCCACTTGGAAGGTCAGAACTACCACTTTGATCAGTTTTGGTCCGGATACATCACGCTTGAGGCATTGTGTACCATTATTCCCTTAAGTTTTGTGGTATTTCCGGGGAAGTTCCATCCACTGAAATTGTAGTAGATGTCCTTGTTGTCTGGATTTTCAGGTATCACCTATCTTATCAGGTTCCATCCCACGACTGTCACTCGAGAATTTTTTGCAACTATTCTCCCGGAGAGAAATCTAGTATTTTCCTAACTTGGACATAACAGCGAACTGATTTCGCGATGTCTGGAGAAAATATTTGGTCAGTGGTCTTAGTGGAGTCGCAGAATACCCTGAAGTGCTTGCGGTATTCAATCGTATAAAAGATCATGAGTCAGTGGAGTTCAGTGTACGGTCAACAACGTGGTAAACCAAAAGATGCGGTTTACGAACATCCTCACTCGCTCCTAAGCCAGTGTAACAGGTTTCGTGTATTCCTTATGCCCACAGATGGTTTGACCGTCTCCCAATCCATTGTGGAAAGCTAACTTCGAAATGGTGATGGATACTTGGTTGCTTTTGAAATTTGCAATAATCCCTCGTTGAACCATCCATTTCAGCCACTCCTCGCAATCCACGGACGTAAAAGTACAGTATTCACACGGACCAAGGTTAGTTAGAGAAGTTTTCGGTTCACTATCTGACCTTATCGAAGGTATTTCGGGCCGCCGAACATGTCGTGTCTGCTGATGGTGATTTGTTCTTCAGATTTGTAGCACTGACCGCACATATCGGTCTAGTTATTTTGTGAGGGCGTCAGTGGAAGCAGCTAAGGCGATGCCGAAGGGGAATTAGTTCCGAGCCTTTGAGCTCTAGCTGAGAGGGTAATTTTTCAAATTTCATGTCTTTGAAGCTGTAATCTCAGTTTCCGCTTATGTCACCCGTTTTTGACGTTTTCTTCTTGACTAGGCTGTGGATGGGATGTTCAGGCGATCCCAAGTCTACCCACCTTCGTTCTTGCATTACGGGGACCTCAAACTATTTTGGTGGCTCTGCTTTGAACATTTTGTAATGAGGTGGGCACGTGGCAGTCTTGCTCCATAGACGTGGATGGATACAAGTGCTGCTTGGGGCTAACGAGCATTTTTTTTTCTTGAACCTGTCGAAAACTGCCGCAAAAGTTTTCTACGTGAGGCTAGCTGTGTCGAGAGTTATAGAGAAATGGAAGCAGCTAGTAAGTTAACCGGGTGGTGGCGAACCAAATTCACGATCTGCAGCGACTACTGGAAATATGCTATGTCCTACGCTGAACATATCTTTATGGAGACTCTGGAGGGTCATATGAGAGGTACACAAGGCTTGAAAACATCAACTTGGCCAGCTACATTTCATCGCCATGCAAAGCCGTCACTTGCAAAGACTCCAAACATTTGGCAAAAACATAACCGCTGTAGCAGCCAAAATCTAATAATCTTGGCCTAAACGCGGGAAATAGCCAGGCAGTGCCAACTAACGAAAACCTGATTAGTTCCTGTATTCTGCTGCATAGCTTCTGAACTTCCGCGAGTGATGCACAGTCAAAGAATGGATCAAAATATCAAAACACGATTTGTAGTAATTCAGTGGTAGATTCGTAACAAAATCTGTGGTACTATCAAAGCAGCAATGTGTTATATCAAAATTAAAAAGATACCTCAACAGCCACGTTGGGTAACTATACAGTCCAAACGCTCTCGGGTGCAAATACGTACTATGCGGTAAAAACTGGTTAACCAAATACAATTGTTAAGTACCTGACGGTCAATAAGAATATTCCCGACAAAAGGGATCAAAACTTCGTCTACCAGAATCAAACCGACAAATAAGCGTTTCCAGTAGACAGCTAAAGGACAAACAGTCAAATCACAGTACAGCCGCAAGTTGAACCAAAACAAAATGTCGGGCGCAGTAAAACAACATCACCTTGTCAACAGTCCAGCGTCACGCAATAGGAGAGTGAAACATTCATGATAAGTCTCAATCATGCAAAGGCAACGTCAAAGAAGACAGTCAAACAAGCAAATAACATTACACCGGCTAGGGTCAAAGGTACACCATCCATAACGGGGGTAAAAATATTAAAATAAATGTCAGCACTGTCAAATAGGGCGATCAGGAGGGATTTTCAGATTGACTTTCCGTTACAACCACCCCCGCAGTTATCTGGATAAGCACAACTAATTCGTACGACCACATTTTGCC